CTGCCCATAAACAGAGGAAAGGCCCTTTCCAACAAAGTGGTCAGGAAATTGGGGATGACTCCGTTCTGGAAGCTTCTCTTCTTCTCAGGTCATGTTGAACGCATTTCATGATCACCCCGTATGGGGCTATTTGGGTGTGTAATTTAACTTGAGAGAGAAGGGGGTGAACGAAAAGTAGCAGGCAATCACAAGCAACCCTGGTAGAAGTCCATGACGGTTATATATACCTTTCGTGATATGGAGACACCCAGCCAATAGGTGTTGGTCAATTGTCCTTCTTCCAGAGGGTCTTCGGAAGGTCTGACCATCTTAATACACCCATTTCATCACAGGAGTCCGGGGCGATGTCATTTTCTGAAGCTAAGCTCCTGCTGTGAACACCCGCTCTTGTGGACATCGCCACGTACGTCTCCCTTGGGGCGTCTGATGGCGTCTGTAGATACGACATGCAGGTCCTCCCACGGCAAAGAGGTCAAACAACCGGCACAAGGGAACTCGGGAACTGCGGTTTAGGGCTAGACGTGATTCATGGATGTGCCCCAGCTGTCCAATCCTACGACCGACGAAGTCGGTTGTCTTCTTTGAATGGATCAATCTTCACAATCCCCAAAAGCCTTGCGCAGAGTTTTGGTCGAACCCAGAGCAGAAAAACCTCATTCTGCCAGCAGAAAACCACCTCCTCCTGCGCTGAACCGAAACAGAAAAAAACACCAAAACCACGAGCACACCCGAGCCCACCTGCCGGTCACACCCGAGCCACCTGCCGTTTTCTAACCGGGAGATTCCAGTCACACGTTCCGCACACGTTCCGTGCCGCCAGGCGCCGTGGTGGAACCTGAACGACCTTCAGGCGCCGTTCGGGTTCGACTCGCCTGCCGGGTGCCGAGGCACGAGCTTGATGGGGAGGTCCTTGCACATCGCCACATCGAGGCGTTCCGGGCGCTTGGCGTCCACGCCTGCACCCTTGAGGATCTTCATGACCTATAGGGAGGGAGTGAGAGAAGAAGTGGGACGAACGAAGACAGTGAGTTGGCAGAAGGTGCAAGAATTGCGGATGCATGGATGAAAATGGTGAACCTATACCAACACCCGACTCTACAGGTCTCCCAAATGGAGGTTTTTGCAGACTTAAAAGTTGGAGGTGGTGACCTGTTACTGTTGGGGGGTCCTGGTAGTGATTTTTTTCAGGAACATTTGCCAATTTAGGACTTGAGACAACATCGATATAAATGTTGGATCAGTACAAAATTCATGTGGCGAAGGCAAATTCTCGCGAGGTCAGTTTGGCTCTTCTGACCTTCGCACTGGCTGACACCTTTGAAACATGAAGGAACCCTTCCACAGATGAGCAAACCAAACGAAATTTAAAAAAATAGTTGATTGCAGCAACTCAAATGCTGTAGGCCATGTTCTCAGCACACTTTCCGTCCTGTCCAAAAAATGTGTTCGATTCGATTTTTTTAAAGCACCGGCTCCTTCCATCAAAACGACCAAACCCGGTTGCCTTTTCCAAAGATATGCATTGGTGTCTTAGTAGTTTATGTTTTTTTATTGTATGTTATGCGTTTGTTATATATAATGGGTGTGTATGTGTGAGAATATGAACTTGAAGGAGCTATTGACGTCTTTGGGACATCTTTCAGGATTTGGACACTTAGACAACACCTGGATGTTTCATCAGCAGCTCTCTCAGAGTTCCCAACCCACGAAGTCTCCCTGAAAGCATCCATTAAATTTAATCAAACAACAAATCTGCCCATCCTCCCACCCTTCAAGTCTGGGAAGGCCCAGCATCTTCATGGATCCTGCAGCTGACTTGCAGCGAAAAAAATGCGTGAAGGTTCACGGCCCCAAAAATGTGCCCGAATCCCACCATTGACCTGGTCATCCTACCAAACGACTTGGGTAGTATTGAATATCCCACGGATGACGGATTCCTCCTCCCCCTCCTCCTCCTTCACGATCTTGCATTCAGTAGAGTTTCAAGAGCGTTGAATCGTTCTTTGGGATGCCCACTTATCTGGCTGAGTTATAGCAATTCGTAGGTCCGTAGATCGATAGATCGAATTTTGTATTTCAAAATTGAGTTATATACTAAATCGCGTGAAATAACAAAATTAGTGTGACGTCACAGGGGAGAAGAAAGAATCAACCCAACAACCTAGGATTTACTACGAGATATTACAAGTCAGGTACGGCGTGAGGTCCCTCACTTCACACGAAGCTTCAAAAGCGTGACGAAAAAACCTTGCAAAACAAAATGCCGTCCCCTCTCTTTTCACTCTTGCGGCATGCCCGCTTCCCTCCTGGCAACAGCTTCATGGGCTGGCTTGCAAGGTGGGAAATACATACTTGTTCAAGGAGCTAGGCTTTCTCCCGCAGTGATCGCGCTGAAGAACGCGCGTCTGGGATCGAAACGTCCCTTGGATCGATCCCTCCGTCATTTTCCACCTATACTCACCCATGCCAGGGGAGCCCGGCGTCTTGCAAACCAGCGTGAACTGAAAAATATGCAAGGCCTGGTTTGCAAGTGCTTGGCGTGGAAGTTGTTTAAAAAGTAAAAAACAAAGAAGGACCACCCTGTCTTCAGAAACTAGGTCGACTTTTTAAGTGACGTCGGGTGACGTCGCTATAATTTAGACAGATTTATATGTTGTCTGCCACAACAGCACTTCCTGCAAAATGATCGTGCCTCGGACCTTCCTGGTCCCAGCCCAAAACCATGTCCACGGATGTCCACGGGCTCTCGGTACCGAGTCCTCCCCTTCTTTGGGACCGCGAAGAGCAGCGTGTCCTTTTCCATGACCCCCTGAGGCATGAAACTCTTGTCCCATGGCCTTGGATGTGAAGCGCGAGCGGAGCGGAGCTTGCTTGGGAACGAGGTTTGTACAGATCCGCGTTCTTGGCAACTTGAGAGACACTGATTTCACTGGTTTGATTGATGCGCAACAAGGTTTTCCAAACTGGCATGTCACAAGCTGGAAAAGGACGTTCGCCGCTCTGAAATATTCTTTTGCGGGTTGCTAATGATGCTGGATTGAGGATACACTCAAGGACCTGTTTCCCTCCAAATGGCTGCAGGATCATTCAACGATCCTTTGATCCGTCTGGGCGAACTCCCGCACCACGCTGGAGACCAACGGCTGAGTCATTGTTTTGCCGATTGGTGGTTTGCTCACTTGAAAGATCTTAGTAGGTTCAATAATCCCCAAGTATTGGTTGAACAAAAAGATATCTGAAACCACCACCCAGGTAGGTGTTGCAGAATGGCTGTAAAAGCTCGTCCCGGAGCAAGCTAGCCCCCCAGCGGGAGGGATCAAGGTCCGGTCCTGGAGTTCCGAGCGGAATGCTTTGTCAATGTGGCTAAGCCAGGCAGTTCTGATACCAAGCAGAACAGAAGAAGCCGAACAGTTCTGCCAGCCATGTCGGAGAAATAGAGAAGGAGCTCCATCACCACCCCCCCCCAAACAGCAGCCTGTGCTTTGGACTGACTTGATCAGCCGGAGTGGCCCTATCGAGTCACGAAACATTGAGCAGCTAGTAGCCCTTGTTACTAGCGATGGCCTCCAACCTAGTAGCTTCTTGTTACTAGTAATCAGTAGCCTGAATGATGTGGAAGAAACTGGAAACATCTGATACACATCACATCTCATAATGGCATTACTATATACTGTATCCAACACCTCCAGACTCCAACCTCCTGAGATTGTGTTTGGGGTGGGTGCCAGGAGGGTCTAACTACCGAACCTGAGGATGGGACAGGAGTTTTGAAGTCTACACGAGCTGGGTCATAGTTCCAGACAGCTTCGTGGTCGACCGGCTCTCTTCCCAGCAGGGCACTGACCTTCCTCATACTTGGGCGAACCTCCACCACGGTACCCGGCCATTGGCGGGCGCCTCAAAGCCCGTTGCTGTGGGAGCTGAAGAAAGAGGGGAGGGACACTCAGGCTCGTGGACTGAACGAAGAAAAATAGACCAACACACTGACCTTGACCATGGAGGTCTCCCTTTTCCAAGAGTAAGTACAGTTTCCGTTTCATGAGATCAAAAGGATCTCGAAAGGGATTGAAAAAGGGCATCATATCGATGAGGCACCACACTTGATTAAGGCATCCTAGATCCAACTACCTCTTCCAAACATGCACCTGCACACATGCACCGCACCCCGAAAACAGTACTTCTTCAGCTTCAGTTGGAGCCCTATAGAACTGTATCTTAGAACCCCTACGTTTCACCCCGCCAGTGTCCTCACATGGTTTCGTGGAAAATTCACAAGACTTCACCACCTTCGGTCCTAAATCGCTACCATGACCTCCGAAATCGGACGGCCCATGCAAGCAAACCGCGATCGGACGGCGCGCCTCCAGCGCCCACCGAGGCCGCTGCGGCCCCGTTCTTCGAGCGGCTCGGCTCCGTTCTTCGAGCGAACAACTGCGGGACGCCAAGAGCTTCCCAACTCAGTCGGGACCATGCCTGGGGTCATAGGTATCATGGGTGAGGTGAGGAGAACTCTGACATGACGGGACGCACGTGGAACATGGAATGCATCCACATGGATCCAAATACCCTCTGATTGGAGACACTCTTATGTAAGTTTGGAGTGTCCAAGCATCTTCCGAGAAGGTATGTCAATCCCTAGGGATGGAAAGAGCCTGATTAAAGCCAGATTGGCCATGGTGAAATGACCAAATGGATTTTCCTAAGATCCATAGAACTATGCTAGTCACCAGAAGGAAAGATGGATGAGTTCGACCACGAGTCGGCAAAAATTCACTTCCGAACGATCAGAACTGTCTTAAATCAATCCGGTCAGGTCGACCACATGTTACTCTTCAGTTGATCATTTTACCTACATGGCTCACGTCCTGTTTGGAGGAGACTGGACCTGGGGTCGAGAAGAGACCTGAAGAGAAGAGGTTCTTACATGTTTCTTCAGTGTTTGGACTGGGTCTCGATCTCCGTCACCCGCGCCCTATGGCCATCAGCCATCAGCCATCGGCCTTCAAGCATCGGCTGTAGTTCTCGAGAAGGTCCTGGACCGGGTACCAAACCGCGTTTGCGGGCTTGCGGATGCGCGGTTTTCGGTCGACGCCAATGAGTGTGTTACACCAACTCAATAGGGGATGTGTGACAGTTGTTGGAATGTGACAGAAACAACATGAAATCAGGAATGGTCATCGTCATATATGATTGACCATCTTCTGCATTTCTACTTGAAAGCCAGCTGGATAAAGAAAATATAATCCACAAATAATCACAAATAGGCCAAAACGGAACTTTGGAACTTCCAAATCCCAAATCGAAATATATAAGTACACGGGTTTCAAAGGTTTGATGGTACTGGCACCCCATCCATGTCTGATGGAGGTTCCTTCACCGACGGGGGTTGTGACAATCATATACCCTAGGGCTCCAAGTACCTCCTCAGAAGGTGTTTGGACCCTCCTGGCACCCACCCCAAACACCTTCTCAGAAGGTACTTGGAGCCCTAGGGATAGGCAAGACATGGAACAGCAAATTCCATCAACACGACTTGAAAGGATTGACACGACGAGCGCATCAGCACCGGGAGCTGGTAAATCTGTCTTTTTTTTTTCCGGTTGACCTGGTTGAGCCCAAATGACTGTTGGGATGTGTTCCACGGTTCCAGGGGCAGGGCAGGGTTAGGGCGAGTGGGGCAAGCAGGGCGAGAGGGCTTAGAAGTCTGTATCTTCGATGGACGCGCAGGAGATACAGACATTTGGGCAAGTGGTGCAAGTACGTCTGAGATAGGACGGGCTAGTGGTGCCAATTGGGGCTTCACCGGCAAGAGAGACATGCTCGGAAGGACTTGTGCACTTCGTGACTCCAAGATCGCACGCCGAGCACGGCAGATGAGTGGCATCACTGAGACGCCGAATCCTTCGGTCGCGACAACGGTCGCAGCACGTTGCGGTCGTTGGCCGACACCGGTGGGCTCCGCGTCCGGCAGGTCCGATGCGTATCCAGATGCCTACAGGCCTGAAGCAGGAAGAGCCCGGGCCTCCATCCTTTTGCATTCTGGTTGAAAATGGACACCGGCCCTCCGCCACCGTTTCTAGGTCATCATCGACCGGTCGTTCCCTGATGCATACATCGTTCAGGCGCCCCCCCAACGGATGAAGCGGGCGGTTCCTCATGAAGCTTCTTCTCGCCCATGCCCCGCTTCACCGCATGCTCTTTGACCTGAGAGGACCGAAGGATCCGGCCGTTGCAGTCCAAGGAGTTTCTAAAAGAAGGTGCATTCATATTGTTGCAGCGGAATTTGCCACGAATCATCAAGAATCAGCTGATGAAAGAACAGTGATCCATAAATCCACATTTTATGCTACACATGTCACGCTGTCACGGGTCTAGTTTCCAGCTTTTGTGATGTTTCAGGACTCAGTGATTCTCTTCAGCCGGACCTTCCAATGCTGACTGAAGCCTTCCTCCAATGCACCAGTCTTCCCCTTGAGCTAACCATGTTTCTTGTAGAAACACTTCTGGCTGGTTTTAGTCGGGGACTTTCCGAGACGATGATATATTATATACAAAGAGTTTGTATGCAATCTACAAATGGTGTAATATACAATAATATACAGATATATACACAACACATTTTTGGGACTTTCGAGCTATCCGATATACAACACACACACACACAAACAGGTCAATTTGAAGTATATATGCCACTAAATAGCCATTGACGGCTTGTCACCAGCTGTTTGTCACCTTGAATTCAATGAGACTTGTTGCCACCAGCCACTTGTCCAAGCGGCGAATTCAAGAGACAAGTCATGAAGTCTCACGAGCTGCTCATCACCTGCCATGGAAACCACAACACTGTGGGTCTTGTGGCAAAATGAATGAACAATCGAGCCTCGCAAAACCGTGACCTGTCACAGAAAAATACCCAAGATAAGGGGCTTTCTGAACTCGAGACGACCATTAGACAGGTTCTCTTTCCATAGCAATCCAGCCCCTAGTTCGATGAATCTCCAGAAGTTCAACCAAAACCCTGGCCACAAAGCGGGACCCTTGTTCTTCCACCCGGGACGTCCCTTGTCCGCGCACGCAGAAACACGCCGACACGCCCAGGGAACTGATTTAAACAAGCTCCGGTCATGCCTGGTCCCAATCGTTGGTCTTGGATTTGCTCACGGAGCCGCGGGGGAAAACAATTCTATTCCCCATGCCAGGCGATTCACCCCAGCTCGGCAAAATAAACCGAAAAGCCTTAAAGCAAAGAACCAGTTTAGTTAGTAGGGGCGCTTGCGGGGGGGTAGGGAGGGCCCGCGACGTCACCCGCGTGTCTCTCTACGACCCGTTGGCCGCGTTGGCCGGGTGGGTGGGATCAGCCCCGATGGAAAAGAGCTTACCATGGCCGAAGGCAGAATCACTTGGGCTGTCCAGAGGCGTGGGGAAACGAACGAAGAAAGATCCCTCGGAGACTTGATGGAGTGAAAAGACCACGGGGAGAAGTGCACTTAGTGCACGTTTCTGATTGAGATTGGCGTAAACCCCGCCTTCCGAAAACCATGCAAATAAGCAAATAACATGATCATACATCATCATGATATCCCTATTGATCCCTAACAATCCCCTATAGCAGCACCTTCAAAGGGGCGAGATCCCTAAGTAGTATAGGGTATTAGTCCATTGTACACTCAGACAGGATGCTCCAGCTCAACCCGTGTCGTCGAGCCGAACCGTGGCGCAGCGGCCTGAGCTCTCCATGCCTTGACGAATCGGCACCAGCTTGGTGGTGGACCGATTCGCTGTCGAAGCGAGAAGGGGATTCGACCCATCACGGAAACATAAGCACCAGAGCAAAACCAGCAAGATTGGGTTTAGGGTTTAGGGTTGTCCGTGCACCGGCAGGTCGGACTACCTGGCAGGTCGGGGCTCATGGGAGGTGTTGGGTTCATCCTATCTTTGGCCAATTGGGGGGATTTCTGTGATGGATCCGTGGACCGACGACGCGGTCGGATTGCTTCTCTGATTCCCTCTTTCCGGATCATTTGCCGTCGATGATTGGTTTTCAGATGGTTTAAGGGACATAGGTGAACCATGATATGTCCCTTAAAGCATGGTAGGGACATAGGTAAACTTCTGGTACCAACGATGGATCTTCCATACTTAGTAGGATTCTTTGGGATGTAATTCTTCTCTGTGAAAGAAGTGCTCTGCAAACTCCAAACTTTCATGGTATGTTTGAATCCGGTCCGAAGGTCCGACGTACGGTTTTGTCAAGCAAGACGCAGCTCTTTTTTGACGGATCGCTTTTCTGGCGGTGTCTTCCAGAGACGAAGGATCCAAACGGATTTCAGACATCGAATCTGCTGTGCCATCAACTGTTGACGCTGTTCAGTCGAATCAGTCACGCTTCTTCGAGCAAAATACCATGAAAACACCTGCTTCTTCGGATGGACCTTCGATGAGCCTTTTGCAGACATGAACAACAGGGCCTTGTATACTTTGTGTTTGGTCTGATCCACTGACGGAAATCGTATTTTCTACTCTAACTTAAGCTCAAACCTACCCTTTTCCACCAACACCTCCTACCAGCTTCTCATCATTGAACACCTCCTCACCTCCACGTTCACCACCCAAACTCACCCAACAAACCTCCCCTGTCTTCGCTGTTGACATCCTCCATCCAGGCCACCAAGAAGGTGTAATCGTTCCAACTCCTTCAAAGCTTCAAGGTCACGCCCAGCAAAAATGTTGCCTCGGCGAACATGCCGTGACGAAAGATGAGGAAGAGTGAGTTCCACCGTATGCACAACGAATAGAATCAACAGGAGGATACTGTTCTCAAGGACCAAATGTCCAAATCTGACAGAAGTGGAGTGACGCTCAGTAGGAGTGACACAACCAGCGAATGGCAAGTAGGAGTGACGCTGGCAAACATCACCGATGGTTTCAGTCGCTTCAGAGTAGATTGTCATCATTTCTGCCCCTCAACATGATTCCATGCGGGGATCCAAGTGTGAAAACCGCCTCAATGCGCTGCTGCAGACCAAAACGACCATGGATGCCAGCTGGTGTGTGCCCAATCGCAGCAGGGCCCGGGCGCAAGGCGCCTACGGGAAGAAGCACGTCGTCGGGAAAGACTGCCAGATCCAAATAGAGCTCGAGCTCCTGTGCAAAGCGGACCAATAAGTGGTGCCGACACCTGAAATCTGATACCCTGACAATCCAATCATGTACTATGGCATCTGTCCTTGGCGAGTTTGCGGTATTTACAGTCCCTGGGGCTCCTGTCTCATCTCCTCAGGTTCGGTGGTATTCGACCCCCAAACCCACCCACCCCAGTCCCTACTCAGGAGCTAGGCAGCTAGCCCTAGGGAGTCTTTGCGCTAGAATCGGTAAATGGCACGTGTCTGGATTCATAGGTATACGATTCCCCTTGGACATCTCAGCGGCGAAGGGCGTCGACTCTGCAGGCGTCGGGGATGTGGCTCCAGACCCATGGTTTTAGGCTCAAAGCGGTACAAACGGTGATCTAATGTGATCGAGTCCATTCTGCTGACTTGCGAAAGAACCAGTCTGGCATCTCTCGGATCAGCAGCTGGATCTCTATTTACTTCATCCACTTCACCATATACCCAGACCGGTTTCTAAACCAGTGTCGTTTGGTTCCATCAGGTTCCAACACACCAAGTTGCCATGTGTTTCTAAATATATAATTAATAGATAGATATAATATATTTATATATGTATATCGAATTGAAGGCGAAATGGAGGGTGGTGTGCACTACCCTCACCCTTCCGTTTGCATCTGATCAATCTTTTGTTGTTTCCCTCGCTCCACTCGTGGCGAGCAGCGCGAGCTTGACAGCGCCGCGCACCTCGGAGCTCAAGCGCTTGGAGCAAAGCTCGATGCAGCGCTTGACAGCATTGGGCTCCTGAGGCTGCTGAGGCAGGGCGCCGTACGCGCCCTAGCACAAGGAGCCTACTAGTTTTGACACATCTTAATTGGTGATATAAAAAGCATCTCAACAGGGTAGCCCGTGCAAAACCACTAGAAGATTATCAATTACAAATCCTCTCTGAACCTCTGAACTAGCAGTTCGGCATGGATTTGAAAGGCCGAGGTGGCAGAGTGCAAAGGAATCATAAGGCATGTTACATGTTTTGGTTCCTCTCAAAGCCCTTTTGGGATCCATCTGGCGTCTCCTTTGGGGTCCCTTATTCTCGGCTTCGGCTTTTCTTCCAATGGCTCGGTCCGCACAGGTCCGGCCACTGACCCGAAGCGAAGCCAACGAAGGAGGGCGAGGTCCGGACCCACGCCGCTCAGGGCGAGGCGCGGACCACCCAACCCAGGGCCGTTTGGGATGCAGGTTGAGGGACCGATGAAGACCAGATGGAAAAGATCTGTGGTGCTCTCCGTGGTGGGTGTTTTGGGCGAACAGATCATGGAACAGAAGTTGAACAGCTGATTCTGGAAAGATGATTCTCTGACCAACTGGTCCTGTACCGCATGTGGTCTTGAAGGGGTAGTAAACCACCGCTGTTCTTCCCAGAAAACCGCTGTTTCTTCCCATCTTCCCATCGCCTCCTTGCGTCCCGTGAGCTCGGTGAGGAACGAGTTGAAGATGCTGGACCTGTTGGGCTGCCGGGTGCCGTGAGCTCGGCTGCCACATGTCGAGGCAAGGACCGAACAACGGAGCAAACCCGGTTTGGAATCGGAAGACCAGGTGACCTCTGCATGAAAGAAATGATCTACACGCCCAGGCCCTGGTATTGGTTAGTAACAACAAGAAGAGGTGCTATATGCTGCTATGTATCCTATTGTCCTAATGGTTTCGAAGCTCCTTGGCTTTCTGTGGCCTCACAAACCTTGTCCAAAATAAGCAATTTTCTAGAAAACAAGGGCTTCTGCCGGCTACTTGACCAGCCGTGTAGTAGCTAGCCGTTGGCCCTAGGCCCAAGGTCACCATTCTCAACCAGAAAAACACCGCAGCCACATCGCCCTTCCCAAATTTGTGGTTTTCACCTATAGAGATTGAAGATATTTATTATTCTATACCAGCACCCTCTTAAAAGTAGTACCCCAAAGGCCACCGTTTCGGAAGACCTGCAGAAAGTCCTGTGCAGGTAAGAAGTTCATAGTCACGAACTCCCCCCAAAAAATGTATATAAAAACCTTTTGGAGGGTTCAACCGATTTTCAATGCCACATGCCAAATCCGTTTGGATCTCCAACCCGGTCCGGACGGATGTGTTCCCCCACCGCTTGGAGCTCGTTCGCTCCTCTTCTCGTAGGCCTGAGCAGAGCGCTTTTTGAGGAAAGGAAGTGACGATGGTCATCGAAGGATAAACATTTACACGGGTTTTTGAATGCGTGAAAGCAATGGCCAATTTCGAAGGATCTGCATGGTCTCGGAGCACCATAGACCGCTGTTGAAAGCCCACTGGTTTAAACACTTGCGCGACGTGGTGCGGTAAAAGCGCACGCCACGACGTCGCCTGTCGCACCCAGGATCGAAAGGGCCAGGGGCGATTTGGAGCATAACTTGGCCAGCTTGGCAACCAAGGGCAAATCTCCTGGGTTGCTGTGGATGTGCCGCGGCTCAACAGCCATGCTCGCCATGTTTTGAGATATCAACTACAAATTCACCATTTCAGTGCTCATGTTTGGGCCCTCTTGCTTGGGAGACCCCTCTTTCTTTCAAAGAGAAGCGTTCGCCGCGTCCATCGTCGTCCGTCGGGGTCCTTCCAACTTCAGCAGCTGCTGGGCCTCCTCCTCCGTGAGCTCTCCCAGGCGCAGCAGCTCCGCGGAGCCCAGCAGATCCACCCGGCCTAGAGCGCAGCCGCAGGGCCAGTGGTCGGGGCCGAACTGGGGCGGGTGGGTGAAGTGGAGAAGGTGGTGGGAAAAAATAGCAGCCCCAAACTGGTGTAAAATGAGGAAGAGTTGTTGTAAAATAATTGTTGTATAGAAAAAAATAATTGGCAATATACTGTGTAGGTTCGTGTAGGTTCAGGTCACCGGGAAATAACGAGCGGACAAAGCATACTTGGTGATGTGGTTGCCGACCCACCCATTTAAGACTCTCTGAACTTGGATAGTGGGGCTTGGAATTCCTTAATTATTTGTGTTTGGAGGCTTGGTGGTGTGTGTTGCATCTGTAGGAGCTGACCCTCAGAGGAGTTGTGGGGAAAACGTGTTAGATATAATTGTTTTTCATAATTCATATATTATATATGTGTGTGTGCACTCACTGACCAGTTGGGTGGACTCATGATGATTTTGTAGTTTGGGAGTTGTGTGGGTCAACTTCATCAGGAACCACAAACTATGTACACATTCACCAACATTCACGTGGTGAAACCACTTCCAAAAAAGACGTTTGGCAGGCTATCCACTTGTCCCTGGGATATGTATGCCCATGTATGCCAACAAAAACACTGAAAAAAAATCGAGAGGGTCTCGTCCCAATGTCCCGGGCATGTCCCGGCGTCCTCCGTCCGGCATCGGGGTCATCCATCGTGAACGGCCAACGGCGATCCAAGTGACGAGAGGTGATCAGGACAGCATTCTGCAGCCAGGACTTGGGGCGCCCTGGAAGACACGGCCAGTGGTCAGACATGGTCAGACACCAGACACGGAGTCGTTCTGGGTGATTTGGGTGCTAGGCTTGCTGGGCTGGAGGAGGCCTGAAAAGAACCTGGTGAGCCCCAAAGTCGCTGGCCGCAGCAAAATTGACAGAACCCTCTAAAACAGTCTTGAAAACCGTGAAGCTATCTCTTTGGGGACACCAACCAACTTGTTTCTGTTTGGGTCCGGCTTTGTTGAATTCATGTGACCTCCTTTCAAGGTCCGAGATCCTAAAAGCGGAGCCTTTCAAGGGCACCAAGAACTCCAAGTGCTGTGCATCCCACACGTCGTCCAGGATCAGCAGCGCTTTTCGACCTCGCCAGCCAGGCGCAAGCGCGCTGGCAGAGATCGGTGGGCTTTTTCGTGAACGGGCCAGTGAGCTGGCCCGAACGAGCCAGCCATGTTCGGGTGTGTATTTGAAATTGGGAGAATCCCAACCAATGGGTTCTTGGCCTTTGAAGTTTCATGAAAAATCGTCTCTGTGGTTGCCCTCTAAGCGTAAGGCAAACACAAACCCAACCAATGGGTTTTGTATGGTCTTGTTATGCTTTTTTAACTGGATTTTCCTTCTTCCAGGGGATCGAACCGGGACGGAGGTCTCCCTAATTTAATACGCACCATGTGCCGTTGATCCCAAACCTGTGTTCAGATGTGTTCGGCAGTGGGATCAAATGACATCCCAGGTCTGGAACTGGCATGCTTTGTGTTGATTTGCTGGGGTTGAGAAGAAATACTCGTTTTACCCATCACACTCAGCATCTGGAGGCTCAAAAGGCCCAGCATCGATCTTGAGGATCCGACCCTCGACCCCCAAAACCGGGGTGGCCGTTGTTCGCTCCGAAGGCTCCGAACGCCGGCCCGCTCGCGCTCACGCTCCGCTCGAGAGGTCCTGCAAGAGCTCCGAAGAGCTTGGCGTAGCCGTCGGAGAGGTCCGTGGGAGCCTCGAAGACACCGAAGGCGCGCAAGAGCTGCGACTGCAGGTGGACCTGGTCGGTGCGTTTTCGCTGGAGGGCGAGAAGGATGAGAGGGTGTACTAGACCCTATTCTTTAGCACCAAGTATGTGAATCCTGCATGATTGGCCGAGTATGTGAATAGTACATGATTGGATTGTCAGGGAGATGGAACTTAAAAAGTAACCATCAAAACTGGAGTTCTGCGTCGTTTGGAAGATCAGAACCTCTTCTACTTGGTGGTTGCTTTGCTATGTTGGTGATTTTGTGGGACGCCGGCAGTGTGCGAATGTGTAACCAAGGTGTGGGGGTGCTACCGTGGGGTGAAAGTAGACGGAGCATGATGGAGCGTCTGTTGGTCTAATTTGTGGACATCTAAGGATTGAAAAGGCAAGGTAGTTTGACCATTATTATATGCTATTTTATAACATGTAAGATTTAAGAACATATTCTATATATTACTATTTATTATCTATTGATGGGTCTCCTTTGTGCCAGCGCTGTCTTTTCGGTCAACTCGACATGCACCGGGCGACGGTCAGCCCGAATCTCGAATCTCAACGAGCCACCAAATCAGGCGATTGGCCCACCGTCACATAAGCGACTCCATCGGGAAAGATCTCTGACCTCGTCTGCTTGACTGTCAACAAGCTGAAGACCCTGGAGTCCCCTCTATAATAGAGGCACGCAAGGGTGGAACTCCAAAACATTATGAACTCCCATCTTGGGATGCTTGAGAGGGTTGGCTCGAACGTAATATTGGATGGGTGTCCAAATAAATGCAGGAACTGAATGGTCGAGTGGCATGGAGCACGGCACGGGGATGTTCGAGCACGAGGTAACCTAGGGTTGGAAATTGGCTCAGTTCCGGTATCCACCATCCAACTTCAAATCCTAACAACTGAACGATTGACGTTTTGTTCAAAAAAACAAGTCCAGGAGAAAAAAGAGCTGCAAATCTCTTATCCCACATCACCGTCATCACCCCAAAGCCATCCGTGTCACGAAAAATCCAAGGCACAGCACGGTCTCCTGATGAATCGTCGCACAGGTCTGTACCGTCTTTCCCATGCCACCGGCACCATGCACCAAGCACAGGCCAGAGGCCTGTCCGGAGGCCGAGGGCGGAGGCTGGTGGTGTCGCTCTCCGGTCATAGAGTCGGCACAGGTAGGCCGATGTGGGCCGATGTATGCTAAGTGCCAAGTCTAAGTAGATCTAAGTAGACAAATAAGTAGGACCTCCAACAGTGATAGGGATGGGTTGACTAAGTGTTTTTGGACGCCCTGCAGTGCCCCGTTTGCCGCTGAGCTTGTGTCTTTGGGTCGAAGCAACATGAACCCAACTGGTTTCATTCGTCGAAAGCATGTTTGGAGCAAAGTGTTGGAATTAGAATGCCACACTCAGAAACACTCCCCTGGGGCACTCATGGTTATGATTCTGTACCTCAAGAAAAAAGCAAACTGTATGATACCATATTATGTGTATAGCAATGATAAGATAAGATATTATGAGACTGTTGCGCGCTCCAGTGATGGGGGCCATTCTTATGATGTCAAAGACTTATGCGGTTGTTAAGCTAAACCGCAATTCTTTGGAATGTTCCCTATTAGATTCCTCGGTTGGGAAGCCATAGGGAATATAGATTAATATGATGTTTGGTTCCAGCTCGCGTATGCCCTTTCTTCTTTCTTCAGGAATTGGCAACTGTAACATCATCGACGTCCTGCTGTTTGTCGCCGGTCGCTGTGACCTAAAAAGTCAAGGAGTCGGCTGTGACCTCGTCAAGGAGGTCGAGTCGGCTTCCCCGCCTATTTCTGGTAGGTCTTGCCTCCCTTCCCAGGTCAATGAAAAGGACGAGTCACCACCGGGTCACAGCCGGGTTGGTCATGGTCACGGTTTCATCACTGCACCTGAAGGCACTTCTGCAGGCTCTGCGCAACTGCGCCACCAAGGCCCCTGCGCTCAGCATAGTTCGCCGGCAGCGGGGGCACCGGGGAGAGCCTTAGCAAGGCCAGTGTCGTGCGAAGCGAGCAGGTTCGTTGGGAAAGGTCCTGCTTGATTGTGTGGAGTGGGTCAGGTATGTCAGCATGTGTGTCTGAAAGCACAAGGGTCGCGGCACGCGGATCAAAGCAACTTGAGAAAGAGAAATCACGGCTGCATGCTTGCTGCATGCTTCCTCCGAAGCTTGTGATTGCTTGTGTCGACACCCCTGGGCAGAGTTGGGCTTGGGATGGCTTGGGAATGTCTCAAACAACCTCCAAGCAACTGTTTGATGGCCATCTGCTTCACAGCAGCCCAACATGGCCGGATTCACCGTAGCATTCATCCAACGCATGGCCAAGGACAGGCCTTGCATGGTTAGACCTGTTGTTAGACCAATGGCGTGAAAAGACCATGGCCATGCAGTGATATCATGGCCATGCAGTGATCATTTTGGCCTTTATTTTTCGCCCCACTTCCAGGAACCCGTTTTCGCAAACACGCAAGTTCCTAAGTCGAACGTGGGTGGTTTCCGGGCAACTGTCACAAAAACAAAACAAAAAAACAGAGCTCACCATCAGGCTTCACCATGAGCGACGTTTGTGATTTTGGAAATCACATAAATCCACTAGACAGTGATTTGTATAGATGTTCATTGTTGGAAGATCCTTGAATTCTTAGGTCAAAAACCATTATTGTAATACTATCAAAGAAGCAGCAGCAGCCTTTTGGGGCATCTTCATCTGTCATGATTGGGGCGGTTTGGTCTTGAGATGTTTTGACCCACTCTCATATTTCTGATTTTGTCTTCAGTTTTGTCTATTTCAGCCAAGGTTTGAGCCTCAGGATGAGCAACAGAAACACAAGAAAAATACTGAGCAAACAAATCAAGTGAACAAAGTCCAAAGTGCGGAATGCACAGGTAAAACCCATCTCTGTCTGACCAATGATACCTTAAAACAGCGCTGAAAATCGAGGGCCTCACGAGGACCACCTGGGAGGCAGTCTTCGGATAAATGGAGGTCCTCTGTTGAGATTGACGTTTTTCTAGGGCAAGTCATCCTCCCTGCATCGCGAAAGACATGTCGCGTCCATTTTTGCAATTGACGTCATCTCGCAGCGGATTCGCACCTCCTTAGTGGACAAATTTCGAAAGCCAAGCTAAGAAGATACAACCTTGGCACCAAATAGAAAGTGAAAGAAAATACAAATTCACCAAAGCACCAACTGTTCTTTGTTGGGTGACAAAACTCAGGACCAGTGGCTAGACAGAGCACTGAACGGCGAATTCCACATATGGCAGATTCATTGATTTTCTACCCAGCTGAGACAACAAACTGACGCTCGACGCTGCAGACCAAACCCAGGCATCCACTTCGGTGATGCTGAACAGGAACAATACTTGGAAACAACCCAGCGATTTGCGCGTTTGGTTCAGGTGTTCTTTTGCACACCCCTAGAGCCCTACACAAAATCCAAACTCAGCAACGTGAGGGGAACACAGAAGTAATCTTAAGGTGTGATAATGATGGATTGGAGAGATATGCAAAAGAGCCAATAGTTATATTACAACTATCTATTGTGGACTTGCGCGAATAGGGGTTGAAGTCTGTAATTAAGAAAGGGGTCTGCGATTTAGATGTTTCTCGTAAGCCCATGTGTCCTGATGTCATACATTGCCCTCCAGCAATGAGTTGGCCCTAGGCAAACCACGTGTATTCCACACGGGTGCGACTTCTCTCCCCCAAGTTCCAACTAGGAACCCAAGGAGGGCAGGTGAGTTTCGGTAGGGATGACTTTTGCGCGAGTTTTCATTTTCACTTCAGCCACCCCCCTTTCAAAACCTGATGGACGCCCACACCTGGACTTGGACAGGTCACAGGACAACTGTGTTTTCGCGCACATCTACTTTGTTCTGGGTCTCACCCACACGGTGACCTGCGACAACCAGCTCAAAGGATACCACCTCGTCCATGTTGACCTTTTGCCTGGAGCACTCCTCAACGCGGGACTTAACTGGGAGAATAGGTCAGCCAGCGCAAAAAAGCGGGGACCTCCAGAGCAAAGGGATGATCATGATCTACGCCATCTACCAGCACCAGACTTCAGGTCAGGTCACCAAGTGAAACAGTGAAACCAAACCAATGGCCCAACAACTCTTGACTAAAGACCTGTTGGAACTTGGAGGGTCCTGGTATCTTGCCCCCCCAAATATCCAAAGAAGAAGCTTTGTTACCTCATTCCTCAGTCCTACATGAAACCTTGACATCCAGTCCTGAACGGGGACAGTTGCCACGATCTCTGGCACTGACGCTTTGCGACATATGGTTCAAGTTTGAGAGCACCGCACACAGTGCATAAAGGGTGAAGTCAAATTGAATCAATCAGCGCCAGACTTCACAGGTCACCAATTGAAACAGTGAAACCAACCCAATGCCAACGACCCCATGGCCAACCCTAAAGAAGTGTTGGAAGCAAAAAAGGGTGAAGTCAACTTCAATCAAATCATGCATAAACCCACTTGTTGACCCAGACATGGCAAGCATTGTTTGGTCCTGGGCCACATTTTGTTTCCTTGGCCACAATTTGCGAGCAGAATCCCCTGCAGCAGGCTCTGGCTCCTGGATTGAAGTGTCCACCGAACGCGTAGCCTCTCCCGAGCCCGACCTAGCCGTTTGTCCAGCCTTGGCCCCTGCAATCAAATCATACACAATCAACAGGCAAACATTGTTTGGACCTTTTCCACATGCCAGGGCCCACGGAATCCACTGGAGCAGGCAAGCATTGTTTGGTCCCGTTCCACATTGCCAGGGGTCCACAGAATCCACTGGAGCAGGCAAGCATTGTTTGGTCCTGTTCCACATTGCCAAGGTCCACGGAATCCACTGGAGCAGGATAGGAAGGAAGGATTCCCAAGAGAAAGCCACGAGCCTTGGCCACTTCAGCGACAGCCTTGTCCACGGCCTGACCACAAGGCCAGGCTCATGGTGGCCAGAATTTGTATGTATGTATATATATATATATACGTGGTTTTGAGATTGATGATCTGCCTGATGATCTGCACAGCTTTTGGTTCCAAGCCACCTATTGAACACAGAGAAACACTTCTGTCAAAAGATATGCAGATTGCCCTCGGCCAAGATGGTGTTTCCTCAAACTTTGCACTGATCCATCGGATATCTCTGTCACCTGGAGGGAAGGGCATGGGCCTGGTGCTGCAGGAGAAGATTGAGAACTTGCACTTCCCTCACGAATCAACACTTAGCTGGAGCAAAGCGAAGCTGGATCTTGCACTCATGTTGATTCGGCAAAGGCACCAACTCCAACTCCAACCGTCCAACTTCTATTTTTCAGGCCCCACACAGGATGCACTTTGGTCAAAAAAACCACACCTCTATGCAAGCTCGGGAAAGCAGACTCATCCCCTCTGTGAACGATGCCACCGTTTCTGAGCATCCATGAGAGAAGATGCAACCACTCACTGCCAAGAAGCACTTGTGAGCAGGCCGGATACCATCGAAGAGTGACTGCTGCGTCAGGTAAAAAACATGGCGAGGCGAGTGGCAGCTGACACATCTACAAGAGTTACTAAAGCATGTGGACGACATGAAATTCGAAAGTCATCCTGTGGGTTTGACCACTCCCATGATGAGTGCGAGTCACACTAAAAAGTGTGCAGATCCAGACTGACTGCGTTGCATAGTGTAGCTTTGGGTCCGACTCAGGGGATCACACGGTAGTTTCCAGGGTGTAATTTGTGACTTCAGTGCTTTTGAAGATTCTACCTGCCGTGTTCAGACCTGATAATTTTGGTTCTCAAACAAACTCAGATTCTAGGATTGATTTGTGCCTTGAAAAACCTTAATAGCAGCCCTTCCCTTCGTTTTGGAGTCTCTTATGAATCTGAGCTGAGCTGCCTCAACGGTTGTCGTACTGGCGCTGTGCGCATCATGCACCCCAAAAAGACTCCCGAAACACCAGAATCCTTGAAGACAGGGTTGCTGCCAAAACGCAGTTATTTGTGCAAGTCCACAATATATATATATATATATGGGCTCTGTGTACATATATATACATAATAATAGTAACAATAACAATGTTTTATATAATACAGTATGTTTGTACCCGTTGGTGAGGTTATTAAGCTTGCAAAATAAGCTGTCACTTTCTGAACCTACTACAGTATACATGCGATGTCCCCAAACAAGACCTCCAAGAAGAGAAACGCCGAACAAAGCCCAAAAACAATCTACAGTAAAAACTGTTGAAAAGATCACTTCACGTTCAAACCTAGCTCGGCCTCTGCCTCTGCTTAAGATCTCACATCAATCTTCTCTCCCAAATCCATCCAAATCCACTTTTTCAGCTCGGTTGTTGGTGTTTCACACCAATGGCACACCTGGCGATCGCTCATCAATCGCTCCACCACCGTCTGGTAGGTCTTTCCCCAACTCGGCTGGCTGGGCTGCCCAACTCGTAGAAGAACAGGTACGCCGCTGGGAGGTTCAAGGCCTCATGCTCTAGCGGCGTACCCAGGGAGGTTCTTGGCTTGGCTGTCCAGCTTGGTCCACTGTTTAACCTATTTAGTTTAGTAAGGAATCCCTTCTAAACCAGGACTAAACATGTGAAGTCGCTTCATACGGTGACCAGTTGCTTCTGTTCACCTCCGAAATCGCACCTGTTCATCGCTCCGGGTGCAGGTCTCGGAGACGAACGACGAATGCTTCTTGGTGCCAATATGTGATGAAGTCGCAACAGAGTGGGAGTGGGAGTCATTCTGATGTTCTTGGGGAGGGCTATCTTGGACAGTCCGGCAAGTGGCCTTCTCAGCCGAAAACTTCCCCTGCTCGAAGCCCGCGGTGCTTGCACGGACACTCGACCGATGGACCTGTCAAATTTTGCCGCCCATTATGGACCGAAAGGTGTCACACGCGTCACAGTCCAGCCTGCCACGCTGGCACTTCCGAGACGTCGTCGTCATTGGTGCAAACCTCGTGGCCGGGGCACTGGAGAGGCATAGCATGGGAAAGGGTGCAGAGGGTGCCCTTGTCATGACCCCCCAAAAAATAGGTGTGAAGATGCTCTGGGTGAAGATTGACGGCCTCTTTTGGAAAGACACATCAGTTCACTTCGTATTCTTTCCTGTGGAATTTGAACCCATCATCATCCGGAATCATTGGTGGCGGGACACCCCAAATACCCTACACATACTCAATCCGACCCAGGCAGATCGTCAGGACTGTCGACAGCCATCGCCTTCCCAAACACGCGTCGCACACCTTTTTTTGCATCCTATGGCTTTCGGGCATAGTTGCGGGCCTGCAAGCAATGGCCACTGATGACATGTCACTGTGATGGTAACATGATGGTAATATGTTGTCCATTTACCCACTTCAGACGTTTCTCAGTCTAAGCCATGCCCATGTGGTTTCCCTGCGTCTTAAGAATTTCCAACATCAAACGGCGCCTATTCTTAATTATTCTTATCAGTAGTTCATCTGGGCCCTCAATAGCCACCCGACGTCGCAGTGGCTCGTTGGAATATGAATAGTTTCAACATGCTTCAACATACTGCAGGTTCCTGCGACACCATTTCGCGTGGGATGCTACCATGACCTAAGTTTCCTGACAGTCAAAACACCTAGCAGCACGATGTCCTGGCCAAGTTTCCAAAGACAAGAGTATTTCCGGTCCTCCATGTGGCTGGGAGACCAAATCCTGGAGCCCCAAAAGCAGTAAGGCAGCTACGAAGCTTCACCAAGGGAACTAGACCGATGTCTACGAAAACTTTCTGCATGATCTGAAACTCTTGATGCACGAACTGCTATACCTATAAAGCCTTGCTGAACTTCAACGGAAGCATAAGATCAAGGAAACGGGCAAGAGCCGGCGCGAACACCCCAAGCAAACCCGGGCCTGTTCGAACATCAAAGCCTCAGTCAAACGACAAGAAATCGGAGGACGGGCTGTTTTGACAGGCGCGGCGGCAAGAACCAAAAATACATCAATGTCGGGATTGTTAACAGGGGCTGTACAGACGGTCCTGGGCTCACCAAAGGAAACCGATCGAGAAAGTCCTGCGGAAGTCTTGAACGGCTTGACTGTCAGCTGAGTCAGCTTCGATGTGTTTGCAGATCTCTCTACTTTCATCCGTTTTCTACGTCTCTGAACCCACGCAAGAACAAAGCAAATCAAGGGAAACATACTTCCACAATCTTCCACAAATCAGCCAGCAGCCCAGATTTTATGTAAAAGAACAGCAAGAAAACTCCCCCGTCAATGATCCTTTCCTGCATGCTCCGCGCCTCTCTCCTCTTCCAAGGGTTTCCAACTTCTGGCCCTCTCCCCATTCGCCAGCCCAGACATGCCCAAGGAACAGCTCCTGAGTCCTCGGGAAAGTGGACCAGGTGCAGCTCCAAGGCCTCAGAGGCTTCCTGAACGACTGTGAGAGCGGAAGAGTCCCCCAGCTGGGTGCGCGTCTTCCAGCTGGGTGTGGGACTCTCTAGGCAAACCTCCCAGGCAACGAAAGCTTGGAAGAAGGAAGATAGACCAGTCTTCCCAGCCAGGCTGCAGCCAGTCAGGGCCAGGGTGTGGGCGGCCGGATGCGGCCGGGTGCGTGGGAAGAACAGGAGTACGTCACATGGTAGACCCGATGCTCACGAATCGGTGTCAGGAATCGTCTTCCAACTAGTACAGATGGAAACCGGTGGAGGAACCGCCAGGTGAAGGACGTCCTCTCCCGACACTGTCAGATAATATAGAAGATGAGAACATATCATCTTCAACACACAGCTTTTCTTCGGGTTCCATCTAAGTCTCTTCTGGGTGAGACGTTGATGAGTTAACAGCTGGGAGCATCAAACACAGGTTCCAAAAGATCCCAGTAGATAGATGGCCTCCAACCTAGCGATGGCCTGAAACCTGAGAGCAGTTGCCTCCAACCTAAGTAGATAGATGGCCTCCAAGCTCAGCTCCTAACGATGGTCTCCAACCTCAGCTCCTATCCTCCCAATGTGACCTCTCACCAGTTCTTCCAGCTAACTAAAGAAGCGGTCCTTCCAGCGAAATTGCTGCCCCAGCAAGCGCGCCAATGCTGGACCTGCCCAGTCCACGCAAACCGGTGGCTGACCGGTCAACAACACAAACCGGTGGTGTTTTGCACTTGTTCCATCGAGATATGATGGAACATGTACCCATTTTCACTGTAAAACTCCTTCACTTGAGGCGATTTCTCGCGGGAACCGATATTTCTCAAAACCACACAACGCCTGTCATGCAGTGCCCAGACTGGTCACCTCTGTCAAGTAAAGTCATAGAACTTGCTGGAACGCGTTTACACGTGTGCGTTCGGGATCCACTGCTCCAAAGATTCTGGATCGCTAATTCTGCTGAAGGAAGAAAGACATGGATCCACCATCTAAGATGTGGAATGCCCCACCATGAATCCACCGGTGTGAGCCAGGACAGCTGCAGGTGTGACAGTGGGACTTCCTATCAGTTGTTTCTCTTGCTGCCCACCACTCAAGGCTAGGGCCCCACTATGCCCCAAGGGCCCGTGTGCAGCCTTGCAAGTCTATTGGAATATCCGTCCAAGTGCAGGACCTAGTCACAAGATTAGATATCAAATTGTTTATCAAGATCAAGAATGAGATGTGTTGAAGAGTGAATGTATGTGCACCGTTGTGAAACCTCATCTTAAAGCATGGAAAGAGAATCAGGATCCACATCCACATGGCCGGATTTCCTCCACGAAACCGAATTCCTCTTGTCCAAGCCAGTCGTCCACCACCTTGCAGCTGGTGTCCAGTGGGTGTATCCTAATCACTTGTAAGAGTTGATAAATTGATGATTGATTTGCATAATTCTATATATATACACAAAAAAATATTCATAAATATTTTGACTCTTGACTAACTGTTACAAGCAGCGAATAGGATAAACCATGATTAACAAAAAATATAAACACTCAAGCCCTAGGTGCGGTGCGCCAAACGACCCGCCACGGCACGACACGAGCCTCGCCTTGACCTGCCTCAGGCGCCTTCTTCTGGGCCGCTGCCAGCAGGTCGGAGGCCCGCCGCGCCTCGGTCCGAGCGACCGGTAGCAAATGGTGCTGCATGGAGCGAAGCGAGACCCAGGATTGGCATCGTTCTGCTGGGTCTATCCAGCCCTTCCCAAACCGCAGTGGATGATGGGGCCTGGTTCCAGGCCCAACTCACACTCTAAAAGAGTGATAAGTGATAAGTATTTACCGACTGCTACAGGTACTAGAACAGAGCCAACATATATGACTCTCCCGAGACACAGTGGGATGGGGTGGGTGTTGCTTTCAGGGCACCTTTTGGCCTATAGGCCTATAGGTCAAGAGTCCAGTCCCCAATTGGAGTGTGGTGTCATTCTGACTGTTGATCCATCGAGTCCCGGTTTTGCATCACGCAGGCCTTTACCAATTCATCAAGAGTCAACATGACTTTCTTTGGGACGCTCACGGGCTCTCACCGGGTCGCGTGCCGAACTCCGAACGGGGTATGCGCGTGCATGCGTGCGCATCGGAATCTCAGGCTTACGATTTACATACTACAATATCCCTGACCCACCAGGAAGAACCCAATTGCCACCATGTGCATGCTAAGACATCTCGCCAACCACCAGCAAAAGGTTCTCTTCATCTTATAAAACTAATCTGTGTCTCCTTTCCACCTGCTCCCCCTTTGGAGATAGCGGGTCAACGGAAGAATAAATGACTTAGGGCAACGACAACCTCATAACCCCCACATTCTGTCTCTTCACTTCTTCATCCACTCAGTGACATCCTTTCGCACGGTAAAAAGCACATCCGCCAGCCGCTTCAGCAGCGCGGCTGCCAGCAGTGCCTCATCGGAGGATCGCCGCGCATCCTGGAGGACGAGGGAATGAGCTGGACCGTTGACAGATAAACACTATAGTGCAGTTCGGAAGTGAATAAGTCCAGGTTATTTTATGGTGCGTTTGAGTGTTGAGGGTGAAATTGCCGCAGGACGTTGGTTTCCATCAGTAGTATGGCACGAAACCAATTCAATCACCTTTTGAGGTCCCAACATGCTTCAATGATATTCTTGGGGCATGCACGTGCGCGAATGCGGGGGCATCGCCGCTGTGGCGAAGCTCTACAGTACAAAACACAAATAACTTAAATAACCTCGTGTTTAAAGACCGGGAAGATCGTCTTCCGGAGCGGATGTCCTGACCCAGCCCATGGTGAAAGTGGCCATCTACATGACCCGCATGATCCACGAAATGGAACACGTCGATGTGTCCCGAGGCTGAGCAGCACCTTCAGGAACTTCAAGACTTTCAGGCGAAGGCTTTTGAAGGTCTCCTGTCCGCTCGCAACACCCAAATTGACAGGAAACACTGTGGGGCATTCGCCTCAAGAAGATAATACTGTACCAGAATGTTTAGCACACGTAGGAATCAGAACACGTCGGAACAGTCATGTTGCCTATGATCTTACAGCATTCAGATTCATCCAGAGCCTTCCTACTTCCTACGATTCAGAACCAGCATGGTCAAACATCTCCAAGCCTCAAGGGAGCAATCAAATCAGCCCTCAACATTGGTGCATCGCTTCTAGTAGCAAGAAGCTACTAGCTCCTGGCAAAACTACTAGGAGCAAGAAGCTACTAGGAACAGGTGCATCGCTACTAGTAACAGGTGCATCGCTTCCTGTGAGATTGACTTGAAGGAATGACGTCTCACATCTTCTCACCACCCACGTGGACGTCTCAGCACGTCTCCCCATGGAGAGCAAACCGCGAGCTGAGCGAACCGCTGACGTCGTCCTTGGCATCTTCTGGAGATGTTTTCCAATAGGGCGTCAAATGTCCTGAGTGGACTGCGTCTTGGACTAACTGCTTTTCCTTTGGGCGTCGAGAGGGAGACAGGGGAGACGAGCCAAGTGCGTCGTTAAGTGCACAGCTTCAGGTAGGTCAGAACATCCACAACATGAGACTTGTTGAACACCATGTGTGGAAGCTTACCATGGTGCGCTTCGGAAGAAGCTTACCAAGCGCACCGGGTCGCGTTCGTCATGAAGAAAGCGAGTCCCACACGGCCCAGAGCGCACACTGCAGCCGTCACCGAGTCGCTGCAGCAGTCACCTCCAAGCCGAGCGGCGCAGGAAGCCCACTGGGAAGCCTTCAGTCAACTGGTCTGCTTCAAGAAAAAGCTCCTGGAAGCAGTCTGCCTTCAACCTCGTGGATGCGGACATCTAGTCACAGTCCGAATCAACCAACCAACCAGCCACCCAACCAACCAACTGATGGAAAAGTGAAAGAAATGCTAGTAGATGTTCCAGTCCAAGCTTGGTGTGGAACGCTTCTGTTCACTTGTCAACCTTGACAAAGCCAAAAAAAGAGATGACAAAGTCGGGTACCACTGCAATGGACTCTGTCGGGAAACATAATCTCTCCAAGCGGAATTCCCTCAAGGCAGCTCCTTGTAGCGTGGACCTTGTTTCTTCAGGCTGAGCCTCGGATGAGCTAGATGGGCTCATCATATGAGCAACAGTACAATGACCGTGTTGGCTTTGCAATATCTACGATGTATCGTAAATGCATGATATATCGATAGATAGAATATCCTCTGCATCCCGTGTGGACCCTGTGGATGCGAGACTAAACCAATCACACCAGCGGGTACCTTGGTAGTCTATATTATGTCGTTTTGCAAGGGGGTCAATCGGGGGTCTCGCTAATACACACCCATAAAGCGGCACGCAGTACAAGGTGCTCGTCTATGTCACAGAACTTATTCTTGTGGAGCAATATGAGAGTAAACCTCAAACTAGCTTCATATCTCACACTGTTCTGCCATTAAGGCCACATCAAATCCACACCATTTGACCTGGCAAAAGTGGAACTATTCCACAGACACCAATCGCAGTCGTTGGCCCAAACACCTACCATGTGTAGGTCAGAGTCATAGTAGGCCACCAACTGGGAGATCGAAAAAGGGGTCAAAAACGCTGTGGCAGCTCGTATCAAGCGACAGATCCTCCATAGATTCCAGGCCCATTGCTCTGGATTCATATGGATTCCACACCGATCTTCTACACCTTCTGGTGGAGCCTCTTCGCGATCGGATGAAACCATACCCACACCAGGACACCGCCCCCAACAAACGAACGCAGCGCAGTCAAAAACGCAGCAGGCGCAGCTCCGTTCACAGCCGCGGAGCTTTTCCGCCGAGGAGAAGCGTTGAGCCAGGCACCAGTAGTCGTGTCCCAAGTTGCAGCTGTCGATCTCCTTTTTGTTGCGGTGTGTTGGTGTGCGCGAAGAAAAAAAGGCCACGGCGGCTTTTCGGTGTGTGTGTGTGTGTGCGTTTTGTTTTTGTATTCGGTCGGACAGTCGGACCACCTGAAGCTGTCTTTGGGCGGTGTAGGTAGGTCGTACTCGACATATACGACCCCTGTTTTGGAGGATCAACGATTCAAGACGTTGCCCTCTCTTAAAGGAGGCGTCAAAGGGGGTCCAGGTTTATTCATATGGGCCCAAGTCTAGCCATGTGCACGTCCTCGCCAACCGACAGATGTCCATTCCTCCTGTGCAAACACTAGTGTTGCGGGCGCATCGCATAGCTTTGGCCCAACAACACTGGGGGGTCGTTCGATGGTGTTTCATCTACCTCTTTTATGGGGTGTATGCCGCTGTATGCCGCTGTAGTCGAACCAGAGAAGCTGCTTTGCTGTTCCTCTGTTTGGCTATGGTTTGCGACCAGGTACTGTAATCCCGGTAATCCAGTGCCATCCCCCATGTCCACAGTGGCAATGGCAGCTGAGTAAAAGACAACAAAACTTGTGGCGCCGCTATTCCCTGACTACTCCCCAAACACATTTCGAGATCAAGAAACATGTCGTGAGACATCTTCTCAGAAGCAGCACTTTGCATCGGCCTGGTTGATCCAAACAAACCAACTGGCACACATTGAACAAATAAATACACTCCACACTTGGCAAATCCCAGAATCCCGCTTTCTCCTCCATTGATGGTCAATAAACATGTTTCCTATAATCCTACGTAAGTTCTCTCTGACCACCAAACATGCACTCAGGAAGGAACCTGGGTCAGTGCCCCGCAGTCTGGAGAGGAACCAGGCTTTGGGGGCTCAGCTAGGGTGTGGTGGTGTGGTCCCGGGGGTAGCGGTTGGCCCGAAGAAAGCTCTCTCTCTTTGACCACCAAACAAGGCGTCACAGGGAGAGGGGAAAGTCAGCCGACCTCCGCCCGAAGCAGGCACCGCCCAAGCGTTCCCGTTCACCACCAAGTCTCGGAGGTCGTCCGCTGCCATGCGACTCCTAGGGTCCTTGGGGTGAACAATGTGTTCTCTTTTTTGGCCAAAGGGATGTGAAAGAGCAATCGAACAATCATGCAAGATCGTGAAGAATCTCTAGGACCTCTACAGGGCCTCTGTAAGGCCTCAGTCTAGGACCTCTAGGGCATCAGGTTCATGATGAGTCCAAAGCCGCTCCGCTCCGGAGCTTTTGTCTATTTTTGGACCTCTTGCGAGTCGTAGGGACTGAGGACGCGAGCCGAATGAGCCTCGACCTTGAGTCCCTTTGAATCCAGCGACAACACTCGTCGCACCAGTAAGGTAAGGAATGTGCAGGCAAGACCATCATCTGTTAAGGCAATTCACCTAAAGCCAGATCAGCTGAGCAAGAAATTGGCACAAGCCCTCACTCGTATGTTCAAAGGCAATTGATCCTTGCGTCGAGTCGAGAAAGGCTCCAAACATCTTTCTCAAAACATGTTCGGGAACCACCCGAACGCCATGGTGAAAGAAAACTCTGCTTCCTTCCGGCCGGAAACCCGTCCCCACCCGTCCCACCACTTCTCTCCCTGACCGCGTCGACCGCCGTCCACAGCCGCGTGGCTTTTCGACATTGATCGTGGCATGCGACCAGCCGTCGGGCACGAAGATGGCATCGCCAGCGCTTTGGACGCACGAGAGGGGCACGGAGTCCCTGGGTATGGCGGACGGGTTCATGCGGACGCGAACGATAAATATATGGTTGATCAATATTCTTTCATGATTGAATAGACAAGAACGTCTCAGGAAGGTGTTGCAATCCCTGTTATGTCAAACGCCTAGGTTACGACTGTCAGCCGCGACACCCGGTTTTTCAGCCGGCGCGATGGGAATTTTCGGGGCCCAGGGAAGTGGTTTTTCTGTGAAGGGCGGAGGATCCTCTTTCCGCATGAACATCAGCGACGGCGACGGAAGACCTTCGCAGAGGGAAGGAACTTGGCACCGAGGACCCCCATTCGGCACGGGGGGTGGGACTCGCAACGATCTACGCATATTGATGGATAGACCATGATAGATCGTGATCATCGTCTCCAAAACCACCAAGGACCATGAAGCACCACCTCCGCTTTGGCTGACCATCATTTTGGTCTATCCTATATTACCCAGTAACAGTGGATTTTCCGCTTTGGTCACTAAAGGCCTTGTTCAAAAATAGGGAGACCATGGGATAACTGTTTACTGCCTGCTACAGGTCAGTTCAAACAGCCCCAAACCATCACATCCACCATCACATCGCTCAGTGGCTCGAGGGCGTCCAAGACCTTGGTCTCAAAGAAGGTCATCGGCCGATGCAGCGCCACCGCGGAGCGGTTGGGGAACCGCCCCGGCGGGTGGAGATACCAACCTGGCGGCAAAACCGGTCATCACCGCCCCGGCGCGGCCGGGCGGCCGTTCCCGGTGAGCGAAAGAGCTTCCCCAAACAGGTTACAGACCTGCACCCGTGCTCGGCACGTGCAATTGAAGGGGGGTTGTTGAACCTTATACTGGAGACCTTGCCAGAGAGTCTAGGAACATTCAGTCCAACCAGAATCCTTCCTGTCTTTCAGACTTGGGTATAATTATCATGATACTTTAGAGAACTAGAACTACAATGGTTCATGGACGTGCCAACTTGCATCCAAGGGATTTTCATAGATCCTCCTTGTAGTCTCCTTTCCAGTATCAAGGCTTGAATATTATATCATAGGCTTCCGTGTGACAACTGGTCAATGCCCGTCAAACCAGGACATGAGTTGCTGGAAAATCAATTGCTTTATGATGCTTTATGGCTTCAAAGAGTTCTCATCTGAATCCCTATGCTTGACTCAAGGGTCTTTTTCAGGATCTTGGTAGATCTAGGGCTAGGGAAGCTCTACGCTAGGGGTGTCAGGCCACAAGGATAATTAGTCCATTGTAACCTTGGATAACCCACCACATCTCCAATCAGTGTGGCCTGCGATGGTGGAGGATATCAGTTGCTCAGGTATCCGGGTGCTGATTTGTCCGTGGGAACACCAACGAACCATGGAGAACGGAGTCCGCAGTCGTCTCAAAGCAACAAACCAACGCACGACCTCCGACAGTGAAGCGGAGACTCAACCGAATTCTTTCAAGTTCCTCCACCTGCTTCCACCAGATCCAAATCATCCAACTCCATCTGCCGTCCTCCACACCCCCACCCACGCGTTCTCCGCTCGGCCACGGCACGCTTCTTCCCGGAGGCCAAGAGCAGGAACGCGGGGCCATGGGAGTGGAACTGGGTCCCTGAAAGGGGCCCTCCCAAGGTCAAGAAGGCCTGCGATCGCGGCTGATCGGACGCGGCGATCGTCGGAAGAAAGATGGGTGAGGATGGATCCCATCTCTTCTGATGCCGCTGATGCGTGGATCTCATGACTTCTCATTTCACCACCACACCTGGGCCGTCAATTTGGTGCTCATCGCCTTCTACTATAGGAGTCTTTGATGGGCGGCTCTGTGTTGATTGTTTTATCAAGGCACACCGAAATCAAGAAGTTGCCCACCCATGATGAAACTGTGAGTTGTTGAGAACTTACTGAGTCTTCATGTGAATTCCAAAAACGGAAGCAGCATCAGAGGAAGATCTGTTGTTTTCAGAACCAGTGTCCACTTCCGGGATCTCGCTAAACGCTGGGAATCCAACTGCAAAGCCGTACCTATGAGGATTGGTGCACACTCGGAATCACACTGGTGCACACCGTGCGATGGGATGGCATGGCCCCGAAATGCCTCGGATGAGCATGAAATCAGAACTCCGAAGACCTGACAGGTGGGAGTGTTCCACTTCCATTATTGTTTCAAGGAGGGTACTTGGTTTTGCCAAGGTTACTGGACTTTTGATGACTTTGAGTGTTCAAGATCCAAGCAGCCTGACCAGCTTTTGGGGCACTGATGTCTTGCCCTGAAATGCTAGAGTGACCTCAACGCACAGGTTCGGATGTGACGCATTGCATTGATGAATTGATTCGGATGTTTGACATCTATCTTGGACATGGCCCTGTAGTTGGAATAGAGATAATGAAACTGTTACAGGGCGGGGGCCGACTCCAACATCTATCAACTCCTTGCGAAGATGTGTTGGTCTGAAACAGAACCTCGAAGATACGAAGAGGACACGTTCTCTGGACCTTTGCCTAAACCATTCGAGCAGAATTATCTTGCTCCCAGCCTTCGCATTGCTCATCCGCAGCCATTCCTTAGGCGTAGAAGGGCAGTTTGGGACGTCCCAGCTGCGCATTGTCCGCCGCGCTGAGAGGTGTTACGGAAGAGAGCATTATCCATCCCCATGTTGTACCCAAGCTCGATCAACCATCTTGTAACATCGATCGGTCAAGTGACCCGTGTTGCCCTGAGGAAGCTAAGCACCAGATTGATGTCTATACCTTCAAACTTCAATGACCGAAGGCAACTTCTTACATCTTCTTACCAGAAGTTTCCCATCCTGTCTCAACATGTCTCAACTGCTTCTGCCGGTTGTCCACTGCTTCCTTCGCTCTTTTGGAGACACTTTCACGCTTCAAAACGCAGAAAGCCCCAGCACCGCAGCACTACCCCAGCTACAAGGTAGGATGATTCAACTTCGGACTCTTGGAGAGGGCGCTATTTGGACTCTGGCTGAGCTGTATCGGTGCAGTGGTGCAATGGTGCATGAATTCTCATCTCATGGGTCTGTGGGAGTTACCGCTGCACCTTCCAGCCAGTTGGCTAGGCCTAGTCCTTTGTGTCGTAGCCTAACTACTTGGCCTGGCCACCTGTTTTTTCGAAGCGACATGTTGTAGCAGGTGATTGGAATCCTCGGCTTTTCTCAACAAACGATTTCCGTGATTTCTGACCACTGAATAGTGAGGTGATGTCTACCAAGTAGGGCTCTATATACTTCAAAGAAAACAAATATTAGACAGGAGAGCCTGAGCCATATATCAATTACAAGGTCCTCCAACCAAGTGAGGCACAACACGTATGGATGTCCAGGAAATTGAGGCGAATGTGGTCTCAAGAAAAAGGGTATTCTCTGGGAATTTCCAGGTACTGTACAACAATGACTAGAGTAGAAAAAACACAGGTTTGTACACTAAGGCATGGTACAAGGTCATGGCAAACATGGTCTCTGTCTCTCACTCTGCCTTTTCGACAGGAAGTGACATGTACTCCTCGAAGTCATCATGGCAGCGGAGTGAATACCACCTGTTTGGTCTTCGGAGGTCTTCGGAGCTCGTCCAACAGGGCCCATGCGGCCATGCCGTCCACGATCACGTTGGCCCATGAGTTCACAAGCAGTGTAGGGGGTGCCTGAATTTGAGACTGCCCCATTTGACCACATTTCACCGCATGCCCCTTTTCATCTGGTTTTAAGTGTGGAAGTGTGGAAGCTGGCGTGCGCCCAAGTCTCTGGTATAGGTGCAATTGCTTGCGCACTGGCATTCAGAAAGAAATCGTTGTCGAAGACATAGATCTGCCTGAGCTCTTGAGCAAAAGCGGAGAGGGAGGAAGAACATCGACAGTTGCGGAAGTTTACACCTCTTCAGTAGCCCGCTGGCCCGCTTGTTGGATAGGCAGCGGATAGGCCACCTCTGAGACAAGTTCTCTGTTGCAAGCTTTGGTACATGCTGGGTGCCCAATCAAGCTTCGCCCTGAATTTCTGCACTTCTGGCGGAAGAATTTTCCGGCTCCGGACAACACATAGGACAGGACAATCAGGAAATTCCACCTCTACACAGCAGTTGGAGTGTTGAATCAAGCAGGGCTTCAGTTCGGTGGTGGATGTCTTCCATCAGCGAAAAGGGCAGCACCGAAACCGCATCCCTGGCCTTGGAGTTTCGGGTCTCGGCGGACCTCCGTTCGCTCCAAGCAGCTGTGGTCCACCCAACTTCGATAAGATGTGCCTGGCGCGGAGGCCGAGGCCGAAGGTGGCTGCGCTTCTTCGGCTGAGAGAAGGGTTGAGATGGAACAAACTCCCACCACGCACGGATGAAAAGTTCAGCACATCGCAGCAGTTTGGCCCAGGGAACGTAGGCAGAAACTTCAACATGTTTGGCGGAATAAGCCGTGATTCCTCTATACTTGAGAAGTTCACCTGCGTCCATCAACTCATGTTATATATATATATATAGATATGTGTGTGTGTGTGTTTTTAATGGTGTTGCTAGTTAATTTGGCCTACAACTCCACTCTGGCCCAAAATGCCACAAAAAAGGCCCAATCCAACAATGATGAATCAACCACAGCGTTTATGTTGCGGAAGAGCAACCTCTTCTTGTGGAAGTTTGAACCCTTTCCGCGTCCATCCACAGTCCTTCCGCGCACCTCAAGGGGTGCAGCCTCGAGGTCTGCCCATCCAGCAGTGCCGCCTGTGCTGGGCTGAAGACCTTCAAGGCCCTGGGCGGCGAGTGGAGACACGGCGGTGTCTCTCCGCGGCTGGGAGATGCCAAGAGGTCCAAAGTGAAGAAGAAGCTCTTGGGGGTTCCAATAGTGTGGTGCCCCAAAAGAGTATTCGTGGCACGGTTTCCAACATCTATCTACATGATGTTACATGTTTATAGTGTGGAAATTGACGGTGTTCTATTTATGTGGGGGGTCTTCTAAGTCTAAGATATATCCCAGACACTTCATGGGACTGGCATATCTACCCATCAGTTGGGGTGGTGCAAGCCGGGGGTCTGTCTGGGGTGGCAGTGCTATGGCAGTCCCAGACGGGTCGTGTCTGGGTCTTGTGAAACAATTGAACCGACTTCGAAAGAGGCCAACCGCCTCGAGGACACAGACAGGACACGAGTGTCCAGCGGGAAGGGCGTGCCCTTCCTCCAATGAATGACGACCTCAATCCCGACTGCCCCGACACTAGCGGAAGACTCCGGACACCCCTAAATGGAACACATATGATAGATTCACCACTGAACCTGTGCTTCTGGCAGGAAGTCGGAAGAGATTCGGAGGTTCCACTATGCCGCCGGGGCGGTGAAGGCAGCCCTGCCGCAAATGCACGGCTGTTCCCATAAGCCGAATGGATCAAAAAGTCTTTCACAGTCAAGGCGCGTGTCGCCAAAGGCAGATCGCATTCCCTTGGTTCGTGACGATGAGTTTGGAATGCCAAAAAGAAGCGAAGTGGCAAGACCTGTCAAGAACAGTTTTCTGAAAAGATTCTGAAAGCCTGCTAAGTGCTAGGTGCTCAAATGCCAAAGATTTGACAACACCACCTTCGATCTTGTTGGTTTCTTGACTCAGGAGCGTGCGAAACCGGGGAGATGTGTAAATAAGATCCTTGGGTCCAAATCCTCAAGTCCTCCAGGACCTTCCGTTCGGGGTGTCTATAGATGACTGGGGGTGTTCAAAAACCACCTGTAGATACTCTATGGCTTGTCTTCTGCCGGAACCCGTCGGAGGTCTCCGAACTGTTTGCAAACATTACAGTAAGCCCTGCCTGACCGCCCAGTTGGGCGCCCTCTCTGGCTTTGGGCGGATGAAAACCCCTTGGGCCAGGAACCGGGTAGACCCACTGGTAGACCCCTATTCTAATGATTAATTCTAATGCACACCGCACCACAGGATTGAACAAAGAAAGACACCCTCTGCGACTCTCTTGGCTGTGACAGCCCCTGCCTGGTAGCTGAAAGCCTCCTTATCCCAATTGGACGCAAGAACCGCATCAGCCACAACCTCAGAGGTCTTCGGATGGGAGCAGATGAGATGGTTTCGTAGTGACAGGTCAATCAAACAAGGCATCCAGATTTGTCTGAACACGCTGATAGCAACGGCATAGAAGTTGCGTATGGTCTAGTATATATATATATATATGCCCGGTCCGAGGCCAAAAGATCATCCACCATCCCACAGCGTCACCCGTCATTTCGGAGCATTTCACCAAATGCGTCCAAATGCACTCTGTCTTGTGGCCTTTCAAGTACATACAGTACCTCCACACAAAGGTCAACATCATCTACACATAGTTTATTTCCCCATGTCCAATTCACCCCGAAACATAAGCACAGAGTGAAGCACACGTGAAGCAGAGCTGAACCCAGAAACGTTTGCCTGGGGAAAAAAAAACTTGAACAACTTAACCTTCTTTCCACCTGTTCCATCTCCCCTGCTCCTCGTTGTGAGGAGAACATCGCAGACACACTGGTCTAACGACGTAAAAGCTCTCTAAAGAAATCGGTGAGACCCAACGGCATCAAGCAAGGCAAAGCGACAACGGAAAACTCCTTCTTTCCACCTGTTCGATTTCAGTGGGGAAACATCTCCCCAAAAACAGGTTGAAGGATATCCATGTTTCTGGGTAGGAGAGTGACCGACCCCAAGTTCCGTCGTGCACCCCCAAGTTCGCCCAGCACTAGATTTCTAGACCTTTTCAGAGCTGGCTGCCAGGGCACGGCGGGCTCGCTTCGTGTCCAAAGTTTCTTGGTCCCTGCTGGCACCAGCTCAAGCACATCACCTCAGGCACATCGCGGCGGAGCTGCGCGTGGCGCTGCCTAGTTTACTTCTCACAACTGCGCCAAGTCTGTTGACCTGCCTAGTCATGACTGGATGCGGCAACCCAGTTAACGTGCTCATTGCATCTCATTCCTAAACAGTCGACCAAAATGCACAATTAGCTTACTTTAAGGTCAACACGTACAGGCACATGTGGGTTCCCGAAACACTAAAGTGCTACAGATCTTGAGAAACACATATCTCATGTCCTTTATCCTTGTTCAATATGCAATATGGACATGCACAAAATCTGACTAAGTGAACTTGAACTTCCTTGTGTAAAGATCAACTCAATGGGTCCGGTAGGCCAGCAAAAAGGACCGATCCGAAAACGTGGTTTTTTTGCATTGGAACTATTGTGCGGGGTGAACCAGCATTCTCAACCTGGTTCAATTTATATATAATCTAGGAGATGGCGCTCCCATCCAGGTTTTGGCAGGAAGTTGTCAGCCTGGCCCCCAAGCCCCCTCAAGACCTTTCTTTTACACTCCCTGCAATCATCATGGAAGTGGAGTTCACCAGCTTTTTGGTCTACGTAGAAATATGGTCATCCGTCGACATCGTTCCGGAGCCATGCCATCCATACGATCCACGTAGCCATGATGAGTTCAGGGAGTATAAACCATGACCACTCTCCCAGTGACGGCAAGCTTTGTCTCGCGAGCTCGAGCCTTAGACCGTGCGATGGACGAGTTCAACGGTGGCCGTGGATGTGAAGGCTGAAAAACAGGACATCTAAAGTCTGCAGCCAGGCATCATGCCTGGCACACCAGTGACTCTACTTCAAACTACTACCCAACCAAACAGGCTTCTATAAAATTCTGTAAATCCCTTGCCTTCCAGATGTCATCATTGCTTCCTCTTGTCGTTGTGTGGCCTATCCCGGTCTATCCGGATGCGAAGCCATCCCAGTCTCGCCCAGGGGCTTGTGCAGCTCCCATCCGCAGCGCAGGTCTCCTCTGCACGCGCACTCGCCGCGGCGAGCAGGAGCAGCTTCGTCCAGAAGCCACCCATGGCGCAGCGTCCGGCGGCGGTAAGACACGGCCACGGGCCACGGTGGGGTGGAGGGCGTAGAGGAGTGGAGGGGCAAATAGATAAGGGGCAGGACAATAGACGTGGGGCTATAGATAGATATCGCCTATAGGGTCGCAGAGTCCCTGTTCAATGCTTTTTCAAGCTTCGGCCTCAAATTGGTGCTTTCTAGCGTCCATACAAAAGTGGCATGCTTCAGATTCATGGTGTGGAAAAGGATTACAGGGGTCCTGCTTGTGGATTTGTTCTTTCAACTGGAGGATTCGGGCCCGATATTGATTGAGCTCCCAGTGTTGATCTTCTGGATCTGCTTGAGGTTCCTGATTTGCTTCTTTTTGAACACGTCCTCGAGTCCTCAAGCTGAGGGAGTGCTTCAGTCTAGTAGCCACATAGTGATTCTCATATATATGTGAATTGTGATGAGCACATGGTCGGACGCCATGTCTAGCGGAACCTTTAGGCTGGAGCGTAGAAAGGCGCCGCTGCGATGCCCCTGGTGGGGCGACCGCACCGACATTGGTAGCGGAGCCCCACCAGGGGCTCGCAGTGAGTGTCACTAGGTAGTGCACCCGCTGCCATGAGTGAAGACAAGGGTCATCGCCGCTTTGACGGTGAGGGCGATGACCCGGGTAAGGCGTTGAAAAAGTGGAAGACATGGGCCCAGGCCAAACTGGTTACGTTGAAAGACATCAAACCTGAACAAAGGGGGCCATGGATCCTGACGCTTCTAGATGGTCGTGCCTGGGATGCTTGTGAGCACCTGACCTTAGACGACCTTGCAGTGTCAGGTGGTGACAAAAAGATCTGGGAAGTGTTGCAGAAACGATTTCCAGAAAAAGAGGCTCATGACCTGCTAGGAGAATCGCTGGGCGAAGTGTTTGCACTGTCAGCCAACGAAGCCGAGTCCATCAAGCAGTGGACGGCTCGAGCTCGAGAAGTGTTTGACAGATGCGAGAGACGAGCGGGAGTGGCTTTTCCAGCTGCCGCTCAGGGCTGGATTACGTTGAACTGTGCAGGCTTGACTGAGGAACAGAAGGCCATAGTGAAGGCCAAGACACAAGGCAGCTTAGACTACGAAGCCGTGGCCGCTGCCATGAGGTCATGTTTTCCTTTGTACAAAGCAACAGCCAGTCGCAGAAAGCCAGTTGGAGCTCTGCAAGTCGACGTTATGACTGACGAGTTCGAAGCTGCACCAGAGATGTCCTACACGGACGATGCTTACTTGCAAGAAGTTGAGGCCTTCATCGCCGAACATGAGCACGAGACCACTACAGAAGAGGCTGTGTTCACTGAACAAGAGGCAGCCGAAGCCCTCGCTGTGACTTGGAAAGAGCGTCGCAAGGAGATAGCAAAGGTGCAGAAGAGTCGACAATTCGGTTCTCATGGCACTTCCAAAAGGCAGTTCAAAGTGGAAGTAGAAGAGCTGAAAAGGCGAACCAAATGCAATCGCTGTGGCAAAGTAGGCCACTGGGCCAGAGAGTGCAGGCAGCCACCAAGTGCGAAAGAAGCTTCTTCTTCGAGCACTCCTCCCATGGCAGCCAACTATGTTGAGAGCTCAGAGCCAACCACTGAGGCTGGATATGGAGTGGAGCCAACCTTTGTGGGACACGTGATGACCACGGTGTTTAGCGCTGGCCTGATTTCCTCACCGGGCTTTGGAGTACTGGACAGTGGGTGCGGACGCACCCTGATCGGAGAAGAAACTCTCAAACAGCTTGAACCCATGATCAAGGCTCGAGGGTTTGGTTCTGTGCAGTACTATGAGTCTGAGAATGTGTTCAGGTTCGGAAATGGAGCAACGGAAGTGGCAAAACGTGCATGCCGCTTACCTGTCGGGATCGCAAACAAGTTTGGCTTGATTGACGCAGCCATTATTGCGGGCTCAGCTCCTCTTTTGCTTGGACGACCAACGTTGGAAAAGATGGCTGTGAAACTGGATTTCGCTCAAGGACAGATGGAGCTTCTCGGCTGCACGACCGATCTCAAGACCAATGAGGCTGGTCAGCTGCTGGTGGATGTCCTAGCATATCCAGCGAGAGAAACAGCTACCCCGAAGCCTCGCGGTAATCAACACGACAGAGACACAGCTCGTTCCACAAAGGACGACCAGCAGAAGGTTGAACAGAAGGCGCAGGGCTCAAGTCAAAAACAGAAGACAAAAATCACACTGAGAAAGAAAGAGTGTAGATGTTTGCTTGCTCAGATGAAACGTGTTTCCCAGACCGAAGATGCTGGTATCATGGTTGCTGAGTTATTTTCTCCTCCTCGTTTTTCCACTGAGGCTGTTCGGCGGGGGGAAAAGGGATAGCATATGATATTAAGCAGGGGTGGGACCTTTCCAAATCAAATGTGAAGTCGCAAGTGGATGCGGAACTCGATCGCGTCCGCCCTCGACTTTTGGTGGCGTGTCCACCATGCACGCATCGAGGCGGGTGGGAGCATCTGAATAGGACCAAGCGGTCTCCTTTCGAGACAGCCTTGCTAATTCGAGCATCTAGAGATCAGGTTCGCTTTGCTCTCCAACAGATTCGCAAGCAGATAAGTCGAGGTGGTGATTTTATCTTTGAGCATCCGTGGGGTTCCGAAGTGTGGGACGATGGGGACATGATCACTCTTCGTAGGAAGTATGGAGTCCGCAGAGTTGACATGTGCGCCTACGGGTTGAAGTGTCCTGACACGGGTATCCCCATCAGAAAAGCCACGGGGATCCTTTCATCCATCAAGGAGTCCACTCATTTCCATCAGTGTCAGGGGTGTGAGAAACATCGTTTGGTTGAAGGAAAACTGAACTCAGGACAAAACGTGAGCGACTTTGCAGCAGAGTACACCCCATCTTTCGTTAAAGCCATGTTAAAAGCCTGCCAAGCACAACAACATGTGAGTGTGGTCGACTTTATCGACTTGGCTGAGTGCGAAGGTGCAGAGTGTCTCATTGGTGAGATCGAAGGAGACAGGGCCGGACCAGAGCAAGAAGACGCGGAGGTCATACATGCTGATCACACCCAAGGTACTCCCAGTGTGTTGCGAGCTGTTAGGAAATTGCATGTTAACCTCGGCCATCCGCACAACAGGGATTTGGTGCGTATCTTGCAGCATAGTAAGGCTTCTAAAGAAGCTCTGGAGGTAGCAAAGAACTTCACATGTACCGTGTGTAGTAACCATAAGCTTCCGCATGCATCCCTACCTGCTAAGACTAGTAGAATCATGGAGTTTAACGCGCGAGTTGGGATGGACGTCAAGTACCTCCCCGGCTGGAAACCCAATCAGAGAGTTCCGTGCATCAGCATTGTTGACTATGCATCGTCATTGCACATAATGGCACCCATTTTCCAGAAAGAAAACGCTGAGTTGTTGAAGGGTGTTCTGCGGGACTCCTGGATTGCATGGGCCGGGCCCCCAAAGGTTTTGGAATTGGACCCAAGCAGACCAAACCTGAGTGACGCTTTGGGAGAATACTGTGAGGGACTTGGTATAGATCTCCTATACACAGCTGCAGACTCACATTGGCAGCTGGGGAAAGTCGAGAGACATGGAGGTTGGTTCGAAAAGATATTTTCTCGGGTATGTGAAGAGCATCCACCCAAGAATGCCGAAGAGTTTGTTGACAACGTTCTTCAGACCCAAATAGCCAAAAACGCCCTGATTACAGAAGCAGGAGCAAGCCCTTTTCAGATTGTTTTTGGACGCAATCCCCGCATCCCTCAAGATTTGTTGCAAGATGATCCACACTTACCCGCAGTTGACGCCACCGAAAGCGACTCGCCGTTCGATCGGGCACATCTCGTGCGGCAAGCGGCGCGACAAGCGGTGCTGGAATGCCAAGACCACAAGGCCTTGAAGGCGGCCATCCGAGCTCGCCCAAGACTCCGCCAGGACTTCTGCTCAGGTGACTGGGTTTACTACTGGAGATCACAAAAGTGGTCAGACGGGCAGTTGCTAAGGGGAGGTCGTTGGCATGGGGCTGGCATGATTTTGGGTAAGTTGGGGGTGAACTATATTGTTGCGCACAGACGAAGTTTGTTTCGCTGTTCACCAGAACATCTACGGCATGCAACCTCAGAAGAGAAAACAGTTGCAGATTTTGATGACAACGAATTGCTGGGAATCAAGAACTTGTTAGAAAAGGGACAATTTCCAAAAGGACAGTTTGTTGATTTGGTCAATACCACACTTCCGCCATCTCCAGAAATTTCTGACCGGGCAGAAGGCTGGCATTCCGCGGCACGATCCGCGGCCGATTTGTGGAGTGAAGCTGTCGTGAATGAGACCAAGACTCAAAAGGAAGACTACAATGCAGATGAGACAACACCAGAACATGGGCCGTATTCTCGATTGGGGGGAACGTCTTCCTGGACACCGTTAGGTCGTACAGAGGATTATGGTCCCATCAGACGGGTTCGACACACAGTCAAGTCACCCCCGGAATATCTCTTTCGTCCAATGGAGATGCAACAGGAAGATCTGTCAGAGTTGCTGCAAGAGGTTATTCCTTCGTTGCTAGAGACACCAGAGACCGAGAGCTTCAGTCCCAGAGGCACTAGTAGCAAGAGAGAGGCCAGTGCCGACATTGATGACGGACCGCGCACTCGCAGTCGAACTGAACGATATGAGGACGAGGCATTGTTGTGTTCATTTGTTTCTCCAGGAGAGGAGGTTCCAGTGCGAAGTGGCCAGAGTCATGTCGAAGCATTGATAGCAGGATTCTTGCAGAAGCGAGCAGCAAAAGAGATTCCGTCCACTGGCAACCCATCCGACATCCAAGAGAAGGTTGATGGATCCAAGATTACAGAATGGGAGACATTGTCAGGGAAACAAGCTGTTCGTGTGTGGACTGGACAGAAAGCCAAAGAGATCAAAGAGCGTTTTGGACATCGGTTCATTGGCAGTCGTTTTGTTGTGATCAACAAGAAGGATGAGGATGGGGAGCGAGTCAAGAGTCGCTGGTGCCTACAAGGGCACTTGGATCCTGACTTCCAGGAGAAGATCCAGTCAGGGGCTTGCCACAGTCCCACACTTCACCCTTTGTCAAGATCATTGATTTTACAAATTCTAGTCAGCAAGCAATGGACGATGCAGCTAGGGGACATCAAGGGGGCTTTTCTGGAAGCAGGACCTTTGAACCCCAAATTTAGTCCTTTGTATGCGCATCAACCTCCAGGAGGGATCCCAGGACTCAGTCCGGATGATGTGATCGAGGTCACAGGCAACGTCTACGGGTCCAACGATGCCCCTTTCAACTGGTGGTTTAAGTTCGACGAGACTGCAAGAAAGATTGGTTGGGTTCGTTCTCAGTTTGACAACTGTTTATACTACCTTCCGGATCCGTTGAGTCAGGGAGCCATGTGTGGTGTGATGGGAGCCCATGTAGACGACACCATCACGGGGGGACACGGGGCAACCTACGATTCAGCAATTCAAGCGTTGAAGACTCATTTCCCGTACAGAAAATGGAGGATTGGCAATGGTGAATTTTGTGGGGTGCAATATAGCCAAGACATGCGAAGTTTTGAGATCACGTACCATCAAAAAGAATATGCCGAACATCTTCGGGCCATTTCTCTCTCTAAAGAACGGTTGAAGGACAAAGAGTCTCTGGCAACTGACCGGGAGATCTCAGCCTTGAGGGCAATCAACGGAGCATGCAATTGGCTTAGTTCGCAGTCAAGACCAGATCTGTGCGTTCAGACCTCCTTTTCACAACAGAGCTTTCCTCAACCTAGAGTTCGGGATTTGTTGTTTGCAAACCAACTGGTGCGTCGGGCTAAACAGTTTAGTCACACTGATGTTACAGTGAAGAGCATTCCATGGGAAGATTTGGCTATCTGTTTTCATTCAGATGCAGGTTTTGGTAATGCAAAGCAACACAAGACACAGGCAGGGTTCATTGCAGCTTTTGTGAGCAAAAGACTAGTACAGAATGAGGCAGCAAGCTGGTCTCCGTTTGCTTGGCGGTCATACAAATTGCCGAGAGTGGTGGCCTCGACACTAGCGGGGGAGGCACAGGCTTTCACGACAGCTAGTGCTACGGCTGAGTGGGTGAGCTTGCTCATAGCAGAAGCAAAGCATGGCAGATTTGATCTTCGGACAACAGAGCAAGTGCAAACACAGCCACGAGTGTCAAATTTGAAATGCCGTGATGAGCTGGACCTAGTTCCTGTCGTGGGTGTCACAGATTGCAAGAGTTTATATGACCATATGATATCCATGTCATCAGTTAGTAAGTGCGAAGATAAAAGGATAGCAATAGACCTTGCAATACTCAAACAGTGCATGTCTCGAACAGGTCTCGTGGTTAGGTGGTGCCCAACACAACTCATGCTCGCAGACGCTCTAACAAAGGACCAGCAGGATCCGGCAGATCTCTTGCGGGCGGCACTGTCCGTGGGGGAATACCAGTTGAATCCTGAAGCCATGATCCTGGAGCTAAAAAAGAACCAACGTCAAGCACGAGTAGAAAGACGGGCGTTGCATGAAGCACGAGAAGCAGCACTAAGGAGAAGCAAGCCGAAACAGGAGGGTTCCTAATTCAGTAGGATGGGGTTTTTCTAGAGAATAGCAGACTGAGTGCATTTGGACGCCAGTTGAGTTTCTGTTTGCCAGATTTGTTTTGTGTGATGCAGGACTCCCTTTTTGTTTGTTTGGTTGCTTTTGTCGATAGTCACGTTTCGTCCTACTCTACATGTCCAGGCCGCTTGGATTGTTTCTCTGGTTTTGGGTGAGGGCTGGTGAGCACCCAGCGCACATTCTGGGGTACGAATGTGAGGGGAAACGCATTGTGGAAATGTGAGCATTTCGTAACACAATATATATAGATACTTTCTTTTGCAGACGCTTTTGCATTACTCGATGTGATAACGAAATGTGTTTCAATGCATATAATTGAATCTGAGCAATCAAGTGCGAAGAGGGCACAGCTTTCTCGGTGTGATCAGACTCTCCGATTGTCTCCTCAACTCTAGGTGACGTGTCAGCCATGTACCAAAATTTCTCTAAAGAAGAGCTCAAGCAGCTAGTTCGAGCCTTGAACGAGAGCGGTGAATTGGAGCAGCTGCTGCACGAAGCATCCGCTTCCACTTCGACCGACACAGCGCAAGGATCGATGAATGACAGCTCAAAACGCAGATTGACGAGTTCTGTGGTGTCTGCGAAGGAAGAGCTGGATCAGTTTGAGGTGATTGCTTTGACTCAAAGTGTGACTCCGACCCCAAAGAAGATGAGTCAAGCACCGGTGCTTCCACGTCAGGTCGGCTACTCTTCTCATGCTGGAACAGAGATCCGCCTGCCTGAGGGTCTTCAGTCACTGAAGCAGTGGGGCTCCACCATTTGTGAGCTACCAAAGGTAGCCAAACGTGACATGACATACGATATGATGGTCACAGAAGCTGACTCGTGTAAAGAAATGAGGGATTACTTGACATGGGTCACCAACAGCGGAGTCAAATCCTCGAAGATGGATGACATCCGTGCATATTTGAAGGCAGTCCAGTATAGCCCCGGAATTTCCAAGTTCGGAGTGACGTATCCAGGCTCGAAGGAAGCCCGTCGCTTTGGCCATGAAGGCCATTGAAAACTTGGATCATATATAGATTTTGAGGAGTGTGAATTGTGATGAGCACATGGTCGGACGCCATGTCTAGCGGAACCTTTAGGCTGGAGCGTAGAAAGGCGCCGCTGCGATGCCCCTGGTGGGGCGACCGCACCGACATATATATATGTAAATGTGATCACAAGACACTCTGACTGTAAGTACACTATTGACTACTGCCGCACTACTGCAGACATTTCCTTCTGTCATGGCGGGTCGATATCTTGAGCTGTAGCACAAAGACATGTACGCCATGCCGCTCGCAGCATTTGCCCTTGTCAAACTTGGGTAGACTTTTTCCTACCAAATGTCAAACTCCTTTCAGGTGAAAATCCACACAGACGTTGAGAAAAATGCAAGACTCTTGCAGTGTATTGTCTCAGATGGACCTGTTCGTCTAGGTCCCACAAATGCCAGATGCCGGCAACACTGCAACTGGGAAGCAAATCTCATTTGGGGCCCGTGCCCACACTTTGGAGGTCTGTCGGCTTTTCCTGCGGGGCTGGAATGAAGAGGATTCCTGAAGAGGGTATCCCAAAACAAGGACTGAATCCCAAGATGCTGGCAGTGAGTGTGGTCTAAAACACCTCCCTTTCTTTCGTGCGAATGAAACCATACACGCACGAAAGGCAGTGTGACTTGTCTGCCCAAGTAACGAGACGGTTCTCTCTCCGGAGGGGCCATCATGTCCCCGTCGAGCACTGCAAAATCGAAGGAGACTAGCTGCAGCATGTCATTGCTGTGGATGGCCATAACAGGCGCACTGATCGGCAAAAAAGAAAACACCATCGACACCTGTGGAGTCGCGCAAATTCTACATCCAAGTACCCCAAGATTCCGAAGGGTCACTTGTTCACCCAAACATCCCCTCACTCGAACACATTTGGTAAAGGAAACATCTCATGTCTTGGTACAAGTACCTCCTCAGTGATCTCGGTTTTGGAGGATCAACTCTCCAAAATATGACCTGTATGGCCTGCTCCTATCTTTTCCTATCCAAAAGAAGCTCATGTCTTAGGTATATCCCGTTACCAGTAACCAGTGGATGATCATGATCTGACTAGGTTGCAGGCCGACATCTTAAGAAAATAGTGATAAGACTGTGCGGGCCGACCAATGACCCACGGCCATACTGGCTTGCTGGGCTACACCCTGTCGTCACGTCTCAGTTAGATCAGTTACCAAGAGAGGTTGAGAGACCATATAGAGGACCCTGGTCTGTGGTATATATGGGATGGGCGATAAAGGGCTGTGAAAAACCTCTCTTGGTATAGATCCAGACAGCTCCAGCGCGCCAAAGAAGTCCCGTCCGCCCGCGTCCGCCGCGTCGAAACCGGTAGCTCCGGGCCCAAAGAGGCGGCAGCCCACGTCGCGGTGCCACAGCACTGACCGAGTAGCGCGAGTAGAAACCGGAGATGGGCGGAGTGAGGGGCGGAAAAGACTGGGGAACAAGTGGTTCTTGGAGATGGAACAGTCATGAACAGTCCAAATCATCCAGAAAGCCAGTTGTGTTCTTTTGGTAGGGTTTGCAGGAGGGTTAACAGGTATTGATGAACATGTCACCTCTTGTATTGTTGTCAGTTGTCCAACATGGGCAATGGAACATACCAGAACTCAAGCCATCAGCAGGGTCCAAAAACCGACCCAAACACCAACACCGTTCTACATCGAACACAAATCAGTACATATAGGACAGGATCTCCGCTGTTTACCGATCTCAGCCGAGATACTTTCAAGTTAACTACCCAGGTTTGATATGGAAGCCCTCTGGCAGAGGGTCCAGTACCAACAGAAAAGTGATGAAATGTGTATTTGCCTTGGGTCAAGTTCGACCGTTCGAAGGGCAACGGCAGGAGGTATCTGCAAGTTTCTGTGCGATTCAGTTGCAACTTTCTCGGACGTTCATCATGTGTATGGTCCTGCCTCCCTCGTTGCTCGTTCATCTCAGCACCCGCCTCGCAGAATCCTCAGGCTGGAATCCATCCGGAACCTGCACAGCAATCCCCCAATCTACTGGAACTAGCAGCAAGCAAAAATGAGCCACGCACGAACTAAAGCAAAATCTAGGTTTTAAAGAAGGTACCTACAGGATGATGCCAGAAGCTCTAGACCCGACCCGAGAAATGTAAAAACTGCTGAAACACCTCTTCAAAGGAAATAGATCCACGTGGCTTTGGACCCGCAATGATCCTGAGGCCTTAAGGAAGAATGGTTTCTCTCGTCTTGTCATGTCTTGTCCATGTTCTCTGGTCAAATCCAAGAAAACTGCATGATCAGGACAATTCGGAGAATTCTAAAAAAACAATTGTGTCATCTCCCCAAATGAATGCCCAGACGCTGCAAACCAAATGTTGAGGAAACCCCAAACCTCCCTCTCCCTGCTTCACTCCTCTGGGCGGACCCGGCCACGGAACTACCTTCCCTGATGGCGTGCAGAGGGGCACACTGCGCTCTTCCACAAGGGGCGTCCCCTTCGGCCAGACCTGAGGTGTGCCACTTGGGTTGCAAAACAAACCCAACCTGCACTCCCTGAAATGCACTTGGAGAACTTACATCTTCGCCAAGGAGTCTGTTCCATGCGATCCACTTGAGTTTCCAGTTTGGCTCCCTGCTGTCCCAGCAACGCGGTGAGTGATGAAATGCCCCGCGTGGGCCTGGCCCAAGTGGGACATGACCTCAGCTGCCAATCTTTTGCAAAGACTAAGGTTCTGGCAAATGAACTCAAAGCCAGGACAAGGAATAACTTCGGTTGTTTCGTAGCCCAAACAAGCTTCGGGACTCCTCTGTGTGTGTGCTCAAGGCCATTCAGGCCACCCACGGCTGGCAAATGTCGATGTGCTGCAAACTCGTCACCTTTACCGCTAGCAAAATCCAAGTCACAGAGGACAAGGAGTAGAGACCCCCATCAAGGCCCAGGTCGTCTGCGTGAAGGATCTCGGCATAGCGAACAGGATTGCTCACCTGCGCGAGAAGGAAGTCATGGAAAGCTCCTCCCCAGGATGCAAAATCAGCCAGGATTAGCAACGGTATTCTTGCGCGCCTGATTGTTGCACCGTAATTAAAGAGGAGATGAGGGCATGGAATCGGCGAATACTGCAGCTTGGCAAGTGCAATGGGGGGTTGTGATAAAAGATTCCTCATCACCTGTGCTGGAGAGGTTTTGCACACCTAAGTAGGGGCTGAAAAGCAATTGCTCTTCCAGTGGCATAGTTATATATATATATATATTGTGTCTATCCTATTACAAGTAAAAATGGATGGTGGTTAGTAAAGGCCTTGTTCAAACATCGTGATAATTGTTTGCCGACCGACTGTTACACGTAATAGGACAGACCCAAGTTATATATACTGTATATTGTATAATACATGATTGGATGTGTAGCAAAGAAAGTGCTGAAGACTCTTCGGGAAAGGTTGACCCCGATTCCTGGGATTAGCATACCTTGGAGTACCGGCTCTGTCCACACCCAAAGAATGCCCTGTCGAGTCAAGAGGTGACCACTTGAAGCGATGAACTCCAAGTTCACTTGTTTTTGCTCTCACTCGGAGTTTTCTTCCACTCATCTCTTGTCAGCCTCCTTAGAATCAAACGTTGCGAAGGCTTCTCTGCCACACCACGAAGAACATGCTGACTAGGGGTCCACAAGCTTCTGGTTGACGGTCAGACTTTGTGCCTTCTCCCCGAAGAAGGGCATTGCTGATTTGAATCCGTCTTGGATCAATCAATATCCAGTCTTCTTTACCAATTGTGTTCTTTTTCACAGGAAGGACTTGTCCACATGACCATAGAATCCTCTGCCGTCTAGACTCGGTTCTTGAAGGAATCTGTCTAGCATGGTATTGCTTCTGCTTTCCTCTTACAGCAAGCGTTTACCATACCACGGATGCCACATGCTGACTGCCTGTGCTCAAGAGCTTCTGAGTGATCACGTCCACTGCGACAGAAACACTGATAACATTTGCAGGGGCATAGACTTGAATAATCTTTCCACATGTTGCTTCCTTGAGCCCAGTTGAGGCAATCCACCTAGAGCCCGCAAACAAAAATATATCAAGTGCATAGGGAGAGTCCAAAGCCAAGTACAGCACGTCAAACTTGTCGAATTGAATATTCTGAAACCTGCAGCACCAGCGACCACGAGACCACAATGGCCTGGTGTGCTTGCACTCAACACGCAAACAATCTCTGTGCCAGTCGCACGGTGAATTGGAAGCTGCTGAACCGACAAACTCCGAGTACGGATGGGAAAGTACATCTACTTCTTCCACCGCTCGCTGGTACAACAAACCACGCGCAGTGGGTGTTAGGTGGCGCAACGGATGCGCCACAAATGCTTTGTGTTGGAGTTTCAACGAGGCCTTTTGAGTGCGATGCTGCAGAACTTCCACGACCAACTCATCGGATGTGTTGAGGTGGGTGACGTACTCACCAAATGTCTGAAGTTTCTTGAGAACGAAACTTTCTGCCTCTTTCCAATCCCGCACCCCTGTTGGACCCGATACATTGAGCTCAAGCCCAGCATGAGCTGTTTTCACCCCGCTGGTTGAGAGCCCGCTCCGACAATCATGTGTGAACAAGTGCAGCCCAGAAGGACTGTAAAGGACCAATACCAGCTTGTCGAGCAGAGATAGTTTGATTCCAAAAAACCGCACTTGCCACCTTCTTGGAGATTCGCACCAGCACATTTGAGCTGACTTGCATTGCACCCTCCTTCCATCAAAACGGAAATCATATTCAGAGTTATGCAGTCCGCGCCTCCACCCATTGCACTGGTCTCCCGGCAATGGATCTTGGATTGTGGCATTCGGATAATGTCCTTTGAATACACGTCGAGCGACCGTTTCAAGCACTAGTCCCCGAAGCGATGGCGTGATCTCAGCCAAGGGGCAACCAGCATATGAGGTTGAAGTGATTGCAACCTTCTCCAAGTCTTTCGCAACTTGCAACGAAGACCAAGGGATGATTCTGACATGACGCAGGCCTAGCTGCCACAAAGCCGCAACAGGTCTGGAACATTGTCTTCTTGTCCACTGCTGCAAGCTCATGGGCCGTCACCGGGGCCGTCATCCAGAAACTGGCAGTTCCGGTCCTGACTACGTGCCTAACCGGAGCCAATGACCACCATCAGCAATTTCTTTGTGTGCACACAACTCACGGCTCTGACAAAGTAGTCCAACATCTGAATCTGGCTGACTGAAAATATATGATGATCCTAAAAGCAAATGAAAAGAAGCATAAAGAAACCCAATTCCCATCGGTGATTTGGTGATGTCGTTTCTGCCGCAGTGCTTCTCGGCCATTGTAGTACAACTAGAAATACTATCTCATGAAACAATTCACACAGCCATCTGGCTACTGTGTCAGTTTTATGCATTCCACCCATGACAGGATGGTTATATAGACTGCATATCCAGGTCAGCTAGGAGGAACATCTTCCGTCAGCTTGGGGTGAAGCGGGCTACCACCCATTCCACAAGAAGTGGAGCATGTGCTGAATCTGTTGGCAATATGGCTGTAGCTCACAACCGGAATCAACCCACGCGCGCAGCGCAGCGTAAATGGACAAAATGGTCCACAGGGAGAATACTCACAACATCATGAAATTGTTATGTGGTTTTCCCTCTCAAAAGTTTTGCAGCCAAATAGAACAAAAGACCAGGATGAACATCAGGATCTTCCCAAATCAAAACTCAACAAATCCTCGTGATTGCATAATGGATTTCCAGATTTGCTTCTTTCTGCCAAGACTTCTTACCCCCCGCCCATCTACCCCCATGGGACTGTTCCGCACAGGTGCTTTCTCCGGCCTTGATGAAGCCGAAAGGGCCAAAGATCAGGCGACGCATGTGGAAGGTCAGGATCCTGAAGAGCGTGGATTAATCTTGGTGGACAATACTGAAGGTTCTGTCCAGCCTTCCTGGGTCTCAAACCACAAGATGTGTTCTACACTCTGCAACCGCAAGATGACAGTTGTATGATGAGTGAAAGAAACTGCAACCTGTTTCGGTGACCCCATCCAACCGTCTTTAAGGGAGAAAACCACACATATCACCCCTTTCAAAGTAAACAGACATGGAGAAACAAGTCACACCAACTGCCTCCAAACTGCCTCTGCGCACCTGTACCGACCAGCCAACAAACCAGCAACACGTCAAAAACAAGTTTCAACCAACCCTCTCACCCAACCCACCACCTCACAGCGCAGGAATCAACTCCAACCCGACCACCCCCCTCGTCGTTTCTTTCTCCGCACGTCGCCACTCGCGGACGCTCCGGGGCGCCTCGGGGCCACCTTGATCCGAAAGGACCTCAAGTGACTCCTCCGTCGCAGCACCTTGGGGTTTGGCCGCGCGACCGCGCGACCGCAACGCAAATGTGTGTCGCTTTGCCGCGGATGGGTGTGGTGTGGGCGCATGTGATGTGCGACCGAATTTCAGGCATAGAGGAGTCAATGCCACCATGGACCCGACTTGGTTGTACAGGGGGAATCCCCTCTGTCAAATCAACCCACCAAGAGTAAAAGGCAATCTATGGTATGTTCCCGGCCCTGTGGTTTCTTTGGCTCGGGTTTGGAGTGTTGGTGCACTTGGCAAGGTTTCTTCAAGGATCTGGAGGGGGTCCTTTGATACTGGGTTGGATGAGGAACAAGCAAACATTTTTTGAAGTCACCAAGAGTGATGAAAAAGATGGCAATTCGCTCCTGTTGTGTTGCCAAATACGGTTGAGCTAGATCTTGCTCAAGACTCTTAGCCTGCAAAGGAACAATATGAACAATTGCAAGGGGTTGTTCAATCTAAATCGATGCGGTGCCTAAATTATCGTACATCAACTGTCAAATGTAGAACAAACACCGCCCCCCGGCCCAGCCTATACACTAATAAAGCATCATGCCGACGCCGCTCAATTCCCGCACGGCTGAAGAACATGTGGGCCAAAGCCCCAAAAGGCAAAACGTGTTTGTACATACATTCTAACCCAAACTACCCTCCAACCTCGTTTTGGCTTATATACATTCATTTGATCTCCATTTCAACCAACTGATCGATGAATGTACCTGAATCTACAGCTTAATGTCTGGGTCATCTCAGTTCTCCTCACCGAGCCACACAGGGCGGCGCGCCCAGCGGCCGCAAGGCCTCCAGCACCTCCGCCCCGCTGGGCGCCAAGCCGTCGGCGAGGCGCATGAAGCGGCGGAAGGCGAGGCCGGCGGAGAAGGAAGCGCCGCAGTCCAAGAGGAAACGGCCTGGGCTGATGAATCAGTTTGATGATTGATAGTACGGCTAATGTAGACTCTTGATGAATAAAATCTCCCAGGCTTGAAGGGGTTGTGCAATCCATCTCTCAGGGACTTCTTACGAGTCAAGAGTCAAACAGCCAAACGCAGTATACATGGAGAGATGAAGACTTCGAGTCGGCACCTGTTTTCGGTTTCTGTGGAATGGAGATTGAGTCGCAAGAGCTAAGAGCAAACTATGTACCGTAAGCTGTCAATACTCTATAGAGAAGGAGGATCCAACAAACTCCACAGTGCAAACAAACCCGGCACCAAATGTGGGCAAAAGAACTGGCCACATACAGGCCATACAGAGTACATCCTCAATATCCTAAAAGGCAAGTAGAAATCCACCACTCAGTTTCATCGAAACCAAGCCCTCTCCGACTTCTTTCCATAGCTTAGACTCCGAACAACACATCAGATGTGTTGCAAAACCTCTTGGACTCAACGATTTCAGTCTTTTCGGTCAATCCCTTATCGAAGTCCACTTTAGATCTTGCACATGTGCGAAGTAAAGACAACTCAAACCCAGGTCCTTCCCCCAAAAAATTCCACACCTGGCTTTCCATATAGCTTCCGAATGGGCACCTCTTGCTCCCGTCCACCCACGTCCACGGACGCTCCGTTGAAGGCCGAGCCACGGATGGAGGCCTCCAGGGAGCAGCGGTAACAGAGCAGCCCATCGATCTCCTGGTGGATCTCCGATCACGGCAGAGTCGACGCGTCGACGGACCCGGAGATCCGAAGAAAACCGACGGCGCTGCGGATGGTGTTCTCATGTTTTCTCCGCAACAAGTGGTCTTACCACTCATTCCATGGTATTGAGGAATGCATTGATCAGTACCATAGGGGGGGTTTTGTGTGTTGTTAGGGGGCTCGCCATGGTGGAGACGTCTCGCAACAAACATAACCAGAAAGTTGTTTGGGCTTGTGGCTCAAGAATCTCAAGAAAACAAAGTTGTTGTGTGGTCTCATTGGACATCAGCTCAAAAACAGCTGAATTCTGTTGGCATGAGTCTGAGACAGTGGTTTCAGAGCAGCTTGCACCAACTCATCGGCCAAGGTTTAATGGGGATTTTGAAGAAACCACCTACTGAAAGTCTGAAATCACTTGAAGGAGATTTCAACCTCTGCCAAGATTCTATTCTATACACTGGGGTGCCAAAAGTTGCGCTTCTTGACTTCTAAAACATCACAAACATTCACAAACCCTTTCCCCTTAGAATCCTACGTGCAACATGTCGACACCTCAGTTGCGGTCAGATTTCCACACCTGAAAGCCTTATAAATATTACAAATTTAAACGGGTGTGGAAATCTGACCGTGCTGTACCTGCCACGCAAAATGGACGTGTTGATCCGATCCGCTGTAGACCGCAAGTGTCATGTTGGAACAGAGTAAGAAGCGTAAACTTTAGGGTTCTTGAAGTATGTTTGTTTAGGTAAGGTCTGTGCCGAGATTCTATGCTAAGTAAGGTCTCAGAGAGCTTGGTATCAGAATACCCGCCAAAAAAAAAGTTTCAGATTCGCTCTTCGGCCTCCAGAAGGCTCTTCTAAACCCGACAAATCGACGCGCATCGACGTTGACGGTCGTCGCACGGCCTCGGTGGGTTGTCCGCTGTAAGAAGCCTTCAGCAAACTCAGCAGGTTCCTTGGCACCGGCGCGGCTGGGTGGTTTGGGGGACCGTGTTCTTATTTTGGTCTTTTCTCAACAGAAAATGAAGCAGAATAGACGTGCGCGTTGGAGCGTTTTGCCCACAGCCAACTGAGGAACCCCCCCTACGAGGATCCGAAGATTTCAGTAAATTCAACTCACTTGAAAAATATGAGTCAGTGGGTTGAGTGTAAATCAAGAAGTATTTGAAACCACCCAGTCTTCTGAAGCAGACTTACCAAAATGGCGGAGTGACTGCCTCTCTCACGCTTTATACGCTTTCCTCTTCACATCTGAAGATCATGCTAGGTAAAAGGCTATAGCTATAGCCATCGGATTCAGCAACCAAGCACAAGACCCTAACCAAATGGATACAGATGGATTCTGGGGTCAGCAAGATCACCAGCCAGCATGGAAAGGATGTGGGCCCATGCTTTTGATGGACCAAAAACGCAATACTTCAAACGCACGTGATTCCCTGTTGCTGCTGGTATCTGAATCAGCACCATGCAAGTAAGAAGTTCGAAATATATTACAGTACACATTGAGAACTTCTTACTTGCATGGCGCTGGATTTGGTCCAGCACGACTAGGTCTGTGGTGGTGCCTAGTTCCCAACATCGACACATTCTACCATGCAACCCACCATCCCCGGACCCGTGGGCCCACCTGGACCCACCTGGACCCGCCTGGACCCACCTTCGCCGTCCGCCGGACTCGATCCAAGCGTCACGCTGGAAAAGTGGGGACGATCGATGTTGATCAAATCGAGCGATAGACCTCGGTGGAGCGGGTGAGGCGTGGTCCGCTGCTCGGTGGACCGCACGCACAAAAGCGAAGAAGCAGTTCATGACTGTGTAAAGATGGCTTGGGCAAAATAATGATGATCTAGAAGTGGCCGGGACACAACCAATGGATACCCTCTGAGAAGGTGATTGGAGATCCTGTTATGTAGACTTGGAGGGTCCAAGTACCTTCTGAGAAGGTATGTGGATCCCTAGGTATAGTTCGTACGTCCACTTCCATGATTTCATGGCAATAGCACCAATCGTTTGTGAAATCACTTGCGACGACACTACTTTGGATGCCCTCATGGTCTACAAATGGTTTGGAAACCCTTTCATTCAGCAACAAAAAGATGACCCCATTCGAAAGAGCCCGAAAAGTGGCAAAACTTGTACTTCCGAGTAAAGGACCAGGATCTTCTGCATCTCTGGCAAGCCATCCCCATTGACTGAAGGCTTCAAACTTTGGTGATTCTGGGACACGCAACGCGTACGCGACGGCCACAACTCCCTCTGCTTCCCCGCATCTGAAGGCCTGTTTGGAGGGGCAACTTTCAACCTTGGCAGGACGGCGGAGGTGAACATGAATGAACAAAAAGCTCTGTGGAAGAAAACCAAGTATGGTTTAAGGTTGTTGTTCAAACTTTAAAGCTTAAATAGCTTAAAGCTTACTAGGATGATTGTTGATTCTCGCTTTCGTTCTGCATCTGGCGATGGCTCAACGCCAGTATCAAGCGTTTTTTTCTACAGCAAGCTGGGGCAGTTCCACCATTTGTCAGCTAAAGACTAGAGGCATCTTGAGCCACGATTGAATGTTGCTAATTATGCTAATTGTTGCTGTCGTTGTCATGGTCGGGGCTATTTCCACACAGACTATACTACCAACACCAAATGGTCAGTGTGCTTGGATTTCGAGAACATTTGGACCAAAAGCCAAGCTATTGGAAGGATCCACAAGGCCTTGGTGGACCTTTTCCCCAATCAGGATGTTCGTCCCGGGCTCATACCTACAAGCACATGCAAGAAGTTGCTTGTTCATAACCCTTCCCCCAGCCCCCAGCATCTTCACCCACGCATCCCTGTACTCAGAGTTCAGAATCACCTTATTCGAAGTTCCAGTTCCCAGCCACAAGACATCCCTCCACCCCATACAGACCACGTGTATGCTCTTGTGTTTGGTTTCATTTTTGAAGGGAAGAAACCTCCGTCTCGACGGCGAAAGAACAACCCCAGACCATCCATGGGATTGGAATAGTCACATACATTTGCCCCATTTATGACCTTAATGTATAACCATCCTGGAGTACATAGAATATGGAATGTAAAAAACACGTATTCTATGTACTCCAGGATGGTTATAAGTAACATTAAGTAACTATTCCAGTCCCAGGGATGTTCTGGGAACGAAAAACGTATCGTGCAAAACCATCTCATGCGAGAGACCCGTGCGAGGCCACAAGCGGTGCAAACGCGCGTCTCTTCCAAGACCCCTTCGAAGAGATCCTCGCGTCTCGCCACGAGGATCGATGGGTGTCCACCCAGAGAGTTTAAGTGACCTGAAAAAAAGGGACCCTAGTGGGGTACCTATGAGATAGTCGAACTAGGGCCTGTCGGGTCCCCTCTGGAAACCAGGTAGAGCGACGGTCAATTGTTGCATTTGGCATACGGATTTTCTAGGTTTTTCTCGGAAATCCGTCCGAATTCTGGTCCGAAAGCTTTGGGCTGAATCCGACTGAATCCGCCCTGTGCGAGTACTGAGTACTGGTTACTGTTCACCCTTTCAGAAGAAGCACCAGGACTCAGGTCACATGCCTCAAGTGGTCTAGATCCCCTTCTAGCATCTTCTAGCCATGTCTGCCCTTCATCAGGGAATGTACTTACCGCCTAACTTACACGCCGTACCCTCGAAGTTCAAAGACTATCCATTGCCCCATTAAACTAAAGTAACTAAAGGTAAGGTTCCTATTGAAATCGCCGTTGTTTATGCCATCTTTGGACGACGTAGTTTTGGACTCCCAGCACTTACACACGGTCACCACCGCCAACGGCCCACCGCGCCAGCACCGCTGCGCTGCGCGTGGCGTCCCTCCGCACCGTGCGTCCTCGAAGCATTGGATCGCTTGCGTCGCTTCACCTCGGTGAACCGGACGGGGAACGGTCGAAAGGGCCGTGCCAAGCCACCAGGGACTTGGAATAGGGTGAAAGCTATAGAAGGAGGTGTTGGGTCTCATTTCCACCAGGGACTTGGAATAGGGTGAAAGCTATAGAAGGAGGTGTTGGGTCTCATTTCCACCAGGGACTTGGAATAGGGTGAAAGCTATAGAAGGAGGTGTTGGGTCTCATTTTTGGAGGCAAGCCAATGGTTTTCATACGACTTGGCTTTCAGTGAACTTTTGGCGAGGACGTCCTGTTTTGCATCCCCAGTCTCGACATTGATTCACCTCTATACAAATAATACCAATGCCTGGACCCTATACCACCGGTGTGCGTGAAGGATCCTATACCACCGGTTTAGGGTGAAGAAGCCTATACCACGTTGGAGACCCCTCCTGACCTCATGACCCTCCGAAGCGCTCCCCAAACAGACCGTCGCAACCGATATACTCTGCCCAGTGGCACCAACTCAGCAGCCCTTCGCGTCCCAAGAGGCATGGCCTGGCCACGCTGAACGCCTGGAGCTGCTGGAAGCTTCTGAGCTGCCGTCGACCTGAGCAGAAACGGCTGCACTCTCGCTTTTAGAGTTCGAAAGAAGCACCGTCAAAAGCTGGGTTGGACTGATCCCCACCGCTGGTCGGCCAGACCTGACGGATGTTGGGGACAGAGGCTTTGAAAGGCGAAGGCGAAGGTATCCAATGGCTCCAAGATTCAGCCTACAAGTATGGTCCATGTTGGATGGTGGTCCGTCAGGGTCTTTGGGGACTTTGGAGACCTGTGATGTTCAGTTCACGAGAAATCAATAACTCGAGCGGATAAGTTCCATCTCCCATTCCAAACGATCAATATATGGGAGTACACTCTGGCTTTGTAAACCAAATGAGCCATTGTCTTCCACGTTTGTGAGCCGGAGTGCACTATATAGTTCTAGTTAGTTGAAAGCCTCCTGGCAGATCATCTTCCTCTATGAAAATATGTCACACATATTCTTTTCTTGGCAGCCATTGCTGGTACAGAATCCCCTTTGGATCTTTGTTCTAACCTTGCTCTATTGCTTTGTTTCTTTGCCTATTGGATGTTCAATTCTTTTGGAACCTCTCGCATTTGGGTGGATCACTACCTAACCCTCAACTCTCAAAACGGTGGGATCCCTACTTCATCCCCCCGGGGCTGTTTGGGAATGCGTTCATGTTTCTTCCAAGCCATCTTATCTTGCTGACTCCCTGAAAACGTGGAGAACGCGTGGCCCCGATTTTGCAGACCGAACAACTGGTTGTCCACTTCCATGAGACATATGATTACATCATTTGAGGGAGTGTCACATCTTCGTCAAAACGACCTCCTGGCCCATCAGACTCGCCACAAAGCGAGGAATGGATCGACTCCAATAACTTGATGAAGGCTTCATGTGCATCCTTGGAACGAGCCATGCCACAGTGGGAGGATGCTGGATCGGAGGCCTACCGTAGGCGGTTCAGCGGCTGCTTGGGACTCCCTATTTCAACACAAATGATGATTGGATTGGATAAACATCGATAAACCTATTGGTCGCAAAGAACCTGCCCAGTTCTTCCAATGAATGTGGAGTTCCTTGGGCCAGACCAGATCAGCTAGTTGTGGGCCCGGATTCCTTCACCGAGAAATGGGTGACAAAGCTGGCAGCGAAGTCGGGTTCCCAGCGAAGCCCGCGAAAGAGGAAATAACATGTTCCCAAAGCTGTTTGCTGTGAGACAATCTCCCAGTTTCCTTTGTTTCTGCAGCTCCCCATTTCGAGAGGATGGCAGAATACTGTGAACACAGCGCTCATCTGGGGGCAAAGGAAGTCGGGGTGCTTGTCCCAAACGAAGTTGGGGAAAGACAACGAGTGGAAAAGCACGACCTCCATACAAATGAACTATGTCTCGATCGTTGCTCTTTGTCACACAACCAAGGGACCAAGGGCCACCACACACTCTGAACCAAAACAAGGCTGCAGGTCTTTAGCGGGATATTTTTTTTGTGGGATATGTTTTTTTT